GGCTGCGACGAAGGCACACCACGGGCAGTTCCAGGACGTGAGGAAGGTGGGGGCTAGAGGGGAGAGTTCATAAAGGGACGATGTCCTGGGGTGAGTAGGCTGTAAGAGGCACTCACTCAGTAGTCATGTGCCTGCCTGCGTTGGGCTAGTCAACAAGACAGGTGAGGTACCTACTCACCTGGGGCTTGCATTTAGTAGAGAGACCACAAATTCACAACAGGTGGCAGTAAGTATCCTGGAAAGTAAAGTGGTGTGAAGTGATCATGAGACGGCAGCAGGTGCTGTTTTCATATTCAACACCCAGGTTTCCCAGGGCCTCTCTCAACTCCAAAGCCAGAAATGGCCACCATCAGTGACTGTCAATCCCTTTATCCCTCATCTTTTCTCCTCCAGTTTTGAAATCCAGCCCCACCCCTTGGCTCAGAGACTGGGGCAGGGGTTACAAACCATGACTTTGCCTGAGTGTCACCTTGGGGAGCTTAAAAAAAGAAAAAAGAAAAAAAAAACAAGAAAAAAATGAGACCTAGATTCAGACCCCAGAGATTCTGATTTAATTGATCTGGCATGGGGCACAGCCATCACTATTTGTCAAAAAGCTCCCAAGAGATTCTGATGTACAAACAGGGCTAAGAGCTACAGCTCTTGCAAGTTTGTGGGCTCCGCTGGGGCTTCTGGGAGTGAAAGAAATGGATTTGGTGGAGAGGGGAGGAGATGAGTGGCCAGTGCTTTCCATGTCTTAGCGAAGGCAGTCCTGACAGCTGCGCAGCTCTTCAGTAGAGATGTCCCGGCTTCATCCTGCAGGTGAGGAAGTCCCTTTCTGTGCAAAGAGGAGAAATGGCCGGGCCCACGTTCATGTGCTGCACCTGTGTATTCTGTTGTAGCTGAACTTGGAGCAAGTGTCTTTGGGTGTCAGCGGCCCCTGGGGCCAGCAGGTTCAGGGAAGGGGCAGTCTTTGAATATTTGACAGGCCCTGGCTGAAGGGAAGCAGGGACTGCCTGTGCATTAAATGGTTGTCTTTCAGGTGTTAGGATGCATCCCCAACTCAGTGCCCAGCACAGCCTTTTGGTATCAGAGAGGTGCTGGGGCTGAGGGGGACCCTAGTTGTCTGCCCCTGAGGAGAGGCACAGCCACCGCCCAGTAACCCTTTGAAGATTGTTTCCCTCCAAGTGCCAGCCATCCTGGCCTTAGGACCAAGAATTTAGCTTTGTGCTTTCCAAAGCCCTTTTCCACCCTGTGATCTGGACTTGGGAAGACAGGCTGGCTGTACTGCTGTGCCCTGTGGTGTCGATGCAGCCTCTCGGTTTCATTTGTGGCGGTGGTGTTTTGACGACGCAGTCACACATGCGTGGTACAAAAGGCCAAAGTATAGATGGGGAAGATGAAGGGCTGGGTTCCATCCCCTGCCGGGTGACCCAGTGTCCTTCCGCAGAGACACTCACTGCCACCAGCTTCTTGATTAGCCTTCCAGAACTTGTTTAGGCCTTTGCAAACTCATGTATCTGTACCCTGTGTTTCATTTTCCTGAAGTGGTTTTTCTATACTACTTTCCCCCCATCATTGCACTGTCTCTTGGAGGTTGGGGTTAGGGTTGGTTTCTCATGATTCATATTTTGAATCAGAACAGACCCGTTATCTAACTCAGAACTGAATTATGGTCTTGGTTTGATTCCTCGTCCCTTCCCCCCACTCTCAAGGGAGAACTTGAACATTGAGAGAGGGAAACACTTATAATTCCATTTCCCAGACTGCCTCTGGCTGTACCTCACTCAGAGAACAATCTCAGAGCTTTCTACAACATGTCCACTGTTGGTGCAGGGTGTGACGATGGTGCTCTCCAGACATGCGGCTGAAGCATTTAGGGGTGAGCTGCCATCTTGGCCACAATTTACTTTAAAATGATTTTTTTTTTACTTTTTTTGTTTTGTTTTTTAGCTTGCTTTCTTCAATTCTTTTTAAGTGAAGAAAATGTGAATATTGGATGAAGAGTGGTCAGGTGTTCGCACCTTCTAGATTTCAGATTTTTCAGTGGGGATGAGGAATAAAATGCATACCCCATGTCTGCGTTTTACAGACCGGCCCTTCTGCAGAAGACAAGTTCAGAGGGCTTGGGGTGACTGCAGGCAGAAGTGCTTTGTGATGCGGTCTCTGCATGGAGCAGTTGACACTGCCACTGACCATCGGTGGGCCAGAAGCGTTCGGAGCTGGTCCCTGAGTCAGTCTACACAGATTCCCTGTGCACTGCTCTGTGCTGGTGCTGTCAGCCCGGGAGGGAGGCAGTGAGCAGGAGTCAGACGCCTGCCTCGTGGAGCCCGTCCTGGCGGGGACCCTTGCAACCACACACATAGGTGGGGAGCAATGGGTGCTGTGAGCAAACTGGAGTGGCAGAATGGTGTAGACTCCATAAGGCAGGGCAGCGCTGTCCCCTGCCACCAGTGCAAGACAATTTAAAATTTCCAGGAGCCATGTGGAGAAGAGTAAAAGACAAAACCAATTAATCATTAAAGTTAATTTAATAATGGATTTTATTATTTAACTCAGTACTGTTGGGAACAGCCCTGCCTGGTATCAGAAGCTGTAACCCCTGCCTAGGCTAAGGCTAAGGGAACGCCCTTGGAACCTTAAGCCAGCAAGGAGACAAAAGCTTATCTCCCTGGCAGGAATGCTGCTTCTGCTGCTTCATTCATAACTGAACCCCAAAGCTTGGTCGGTTAGCCAAAGACGGGTAAGATTCCCCAAGGGGGGGACGACCTAAGACAGGCACGATCATGTGGGAGGCCCCCAAAAGAAGGACTTTGGGGGCTACAGCAAAAGGGGGTGATGGACCCTCGCTCCTCGGCTTTGACATAGCCTGAGTCCTCATCTTCTGGGAGAAAATCTCCTTATCTCTTGGTTGCCTTAGTTCCCTTGCTCCACCTAAGCCTGAAACTATGACAGGGTGGTGCAGCTCTGTGCTGAAAAGGGGGAATTCCCCAGGTGATCAGGCCTAAGAAAGAACATGTAAATTACTATGAAACCTTCTTTGTTTAGCATGCTCTCAGTTGAATGAGAAGGGTCCAAGGAGGAAGTTAGTTTGTTCCTCAAAGTCTTACAGTTCTTTGACCCTGACTCAAAATAGACCCTCAGAGTTCCTTGTTATCTATTGTTCCTTACTTCCTCGTAATGAGTAATGTACTTTACCTGAATTATTATGCAAAACAAGCCCAATAAAAGCAGGTCTGGACGGTAAATCGGCGCTCTCCCCACCAGGGAGGGTGGCCATGGCACCCTCCTGGAGAGAGGGTGGCCAAGTGCTCCCCACTATAGGGGGTGGCCATTCTGTCCCTACTTCTGTTACAGGGTGCAGCCAAGAGGGGGGATCCCAAATAGGCATTTGAAATGGGGTCCAGAATTCAAGGTGTCCAGGAGATTTTAAGGTGTCTTCACCCCTTCCCCCATAGGTGTGAGTTGGGAGAAGGGGCACACAGAGCAAGAACATGCAGGGCAGCTCTGCAGCTAATCCATGGCATGGTCATTTAGCATACCTATAGCCTTTGGCTGGTCACTTAGATATGCTAAATAGCTATGGCCATGCTCAAGGCCAGGGGGATGGAAAGGGACCTCCCCCACCCAAGATGTGACTGGGGGGCAGGTCCCCCGAGTTACAGCGCCTGCGTGGGAGCTCGGAGAAGATTGGCTTCAGGACATGGGGTCACACCTGCCCAGACCCACGATGGCAACCAGAAAAAAGCTGGAGAAGACAGCAGATTGAGGGCAAGTGTGCCCGAGTGTAGGAGAAGTCGGAAATGGGGCTGCAGAGGAAGATTGGCGTGGGAATTTAAACCAAGAGGCGGCAGCCATTGAGGGGAGAACCATGCACTGTGGAAGTGCAGAGAGGATCACAGCCATTGGGGAGGGAGAACCACGCGCCTTTAGCAGAGTGGGGATCCCCGCAGCTTTAGAAAGGGGAACCACCACCTGGTTTTAGCAGAGATCCCAGCCACTCAGCTGAGGGTGCTGGGAACCCAGGGAGGTCTCCCAGTCGATATGGAGTACTAACTGGGAATAACCAGAGGACTGCCTGAGCCATGGACTTCTATTTCCTTTCCTGAGATATGGTACTCTGGACTGAGCAAAGGGGAAAGGAAGGAAGGACCGTGTCTGTTTGTGGGTGTTTTAAAGGGACTTTGGGATTTTTGATAAAGACATTAGGTCACTACTTTAAGTTTGTATAGCATTAAATAAACATTTCCTTTCCTTTTCACAAATCTCTGGCATTGAGAGACGTCTTTCCTCGGGCGGCGGACATAACAGACCCGGGGGCTTCTTTCAATAATAGTATATTGTCCCAGGCCCCCCTTGTTTGTTCTGTAACACTTCTCCACAGAAACTAGTCTGTCTCTGTGCATGTTTTTTCTCACATTTCGACGAGACATCCACAGCGTTCCGTGATCACTGCTGGCCGGTGACCTACTCATCACAGTACATCTGAAACATTATGGTTTCAGCTTGTAATCAGTCTAAATAGTTACCAGTGATACAGTTTACATGCTTTTTCTCATACGAGTCTTCAAAGCCAGTGTGTGTCTTGCACGCAGTGCCCCTCCATCTAGTTGTGCCGTGTTCACTGCAGATATTTGTTCTGTATTTAAATTTCATAAAGTTTATCATTGGAGAAGTATATTCACACACCCCAGTTGTTCTGAACATACCTTAAAGTTTTACAGTAGCTGAAATGAATCCATTTTCAATTTTAGTTTAAAAATAAATTTTAATTTGGTAATTTTCATGTTTTAATAATAAATTCACAGAAATAACATAAAATCAAACACTCTGTTTCTTAGTTGCATGAGCCTTGTTTCCAGGGCATACTTGTCACACTGGCTGGTGGCATGCCTGCAGTTCTTGTAGATTCCAGGGTCACCCAGAAGGCCAATGAGCCTCTTGACCTCTGTTCTCCTGCAGCCCCACCTTCCCGGCTTGCTGCCCCTCCCCAGGTGAGGACTCTTGGAGGGGAAAAAAGGATGCCTGCTGCAGGAGGAAAGGCCAAGGCCAAGGTAAGCAGCCCTTTCTCTTCCTTTGGAAAGGTGTCTTGTGAGCTGTGGACCATTTACTTTTCCTCCAGGGACTCTTCCTGCCCAGTAGAGTCACAACCAAGACCTGGTCCCCAAGTTCCTCCCATCACCACAGAAGGTGGGAGCTGAGAAGGGCCCGCTCTCCTTTTTTCTCAGTGTGCACATGACCACTCCCCCGTTGGTTCAGCACCTCAAGGGTCTCTGCCAACATCATTGGGAGAAATGCCCTCCCCACAGGGAAGGTGACAGCCCCCGATTTCCCACAATGGAGGTGCCTGACCGGGCGGGACCTGCTGAGGCACAGGTGGACTCCTGTGGACAGGTGGACAGGTGTTGCTCTCCAGAGCTAAACTGCTAATGTTTTGTTTCTATGTAATACGCTTGCAGTCTTACATATCATGTTGCGTTGTGTTGCATTGATGTTAATGTACCTGCCCCTTCTGGTCTCAGCACCTCCAGATGTGTCCTACATAGCTCCCTGGCCCCTGTCTCTCCTGTGTTTGAGACAAGTCCTCTGTCTGTTGCAGGCATGTGGGAACTCGAGCCCACCATGACAGGATGGGGGTTTTCCATTTCAGGCACCAGTGATGTTTGGGGACCTGACCGTCTACTTCTCCCTGGAGGAGTGGGAGGGACTGAGCCCCATATAGAAGGATCTGTACAGAGACGTCACGTTGGAGAACTACCAGCACCTGGTCTCTCTCTGTAAGGCTCCCCCATAATCCACATATGCCCTTTGAGGGATGGGAACCAGCCAGTCTGGCCTGGAAAACAGCAGCCACTCCAGTCTGGGTTTGTTTTCTTTTTAACAGCTTTATTGAGATACAATTCACACACTGTATAATTCACCCATATCGAGTGTCCAATTCAGTGGTTTTAATTGTATTGGCAGAGTGTGTGTCCATCAGCACAGTCATTTTAAAACATCCTGCCACCCCCCGCCCCCAAAGAATCCCCATGCCCATTCGCATCACTCTTCCTTTTCCCCTGCCCACTAATCCCCCCAGATGAGGCAAATACTCCTCCACTCTCTGTCTCTATAGACTTGCCTGTTCTTGGCCTTTCATAGAAATGGAGTCACACAGTATGTGACCTGTGTGTCTGGCTTCTGTCACTGACCACCATGTTTTCAAGGTTCATCCACCAGTACTGGGTGTCAGTGCCTCATTACTTTTTATGGCTGAGTAACATTCCACTCTGTGGATGGATCGCATTTGTTTCTCCATCCATCAGTGAATGGGCATTCAGGCTGTTCCCACTCCACAGCTCTTATGAATATACTGCTCTAAACATCTGTGTATGAGTTTTTGTATGGATGCATATTTTCATTTGGGTATGTAGCTACAAGTAGAATTGCTTGCTGGTCATATAGTAGCTGTGTATGTAAGTTTTTGAGGACACCTCACTTGTGTGAAGACAGTTTAATATCATGAGTCTACAGGTACTGGTAAAAGGTGATTAGTGTACCCTAGAGTAACACAGAGGTGGTAAGGCAGGACATAGCCACCCTCCCAGGGCAAGGGGAGAGCCTAGAGCTTTCAGGACTCTGGGGGACACAACCTTGTATAGGAGGATTGGGTCACATTGCCTGATTCTGCACTCCTGACAGGGCAAGATGAGCCTGGTTCTGGGGGTGGATGGGAAAGAGTAAAGCAGAAATTGAAACAACTAGAGCCCCTACCATTGGATACTCCCAGGGCGTGGCTGGCTAAGGAGAGGTGTGGGTTGCGGAGCCTCCGTGTCAAAAACAGCTCAGACAGAAGGGGCATCAGGAGCCGAAAGGCAGCAGCTCAGTGACCAGCCTCAGGAGTTTCTGTTCCTGCTTTTCAGGGAAACAGCCAGCTTTGTAGAGTTAGGAAGGAAAAACTGCTGCCTGTGCCTGGATTTTCACCCCCCTCATTCTCTGACTGCCCTTCTGGTCCTCTGGGCTCCCTTTGTGCTGATGAGCACAAACCTGGCTGTTGATACAAGGCTCAGCTCTGATGTCATGGCACCCACATCACATTCAATTCCTATGTTTGTCCTGTTCCAGGACTTTCTTATCAGAGGCCAAATGTGATCACCTTGTTGGAGAAGGGGATGGTGCCCCTGGATGGAGCCAGTGAGAAGAGGCAGGGGCCTGGGTGAGTGAGAGAGCCAGGGCTTAGAAGTTCTGTGTAAGAGCACATGCCATTGGGAGGGGGCCACCCTGTGAGGTAATAGCTGAGAGCCGCTTCCCCACCTCCTGGGCAGAAAGTTAAGTCTCTGCAGTGTGATCCATCCCCTCCACCAAGGGAGAATAACTAACATTTTATAAGCCTTTACTGGGTTCCAGCCACCCCTGTAAACACACGTTTCTCCCAACAATGCTGTGAGGCAGGAACTATTGGTATTATTCTGTAGACAAGGAAACTGAGGACCAGAGAGCTTTAGTGACTTGCCCCAGGTTGCCCAGCTAGGAGGTGGCAGCAGAGCTGGGTGTGAACCCCAGCGTCTCATCTCAGGAGCTGAGATCCTAACACCCTCATTTCTACCTGCCACTTCCCCTGCCTCGGCTTCCATAGTTACCCTCAGAGAAAGTGCATTCCTATCTTTAATGATAGCACCTCTAATGATAATGTCCCAATGTTCATTTTCTTCATTCCTCAAAAAAATCAAAAATCTTTTCCATAACTGTTTATTTTCACTACTTTGTAAGAACTTATTCCCTTTTCTAACAGATTCCTCTTTGGTTGATCAAGTTGTGTGGATTTTTGTGGGGGTCTTTTTTTAACACTTCTGTGAGTTTTTTTTAATTGTGGGGGTGGAGCATAACATTAAGTATACAATCCTAACCATTTTAAAATGTACAGTTTTGTATCCACGTTGTCATGCAGCAGATCTCCAGAACTTGTCCATCTTGCAACACTGAAAGTCTGTGCCCTTGGTCACCCGCATTCTGCTCTCTGTTTCTATGATTCTGACAACTGTGGGTACTTCATGTGAATAGAATTGTACAATATTGGACCTTTACTTACTGGCTTCTTTTACTGAGCTTAATGTCCTCGAGGTTCATTCATGACATAGCATGTGGCAGCATTTCCTTCTTTTTAAAGGCTGTGTAATGTTCTATTGTATGTATGTTCAGCCCATCCTCCATATTCTATTCCACATTCATGGTTTTAACCAACTGTGGATTGAAAATGTTTGAAAAATATGTTGCATCATACAATGGTTGCACCTGTACTAAATAGTGCAGACTTTTTTCCTTGTCATTATTCTCTGAATAGTACAGTATAATAATAACTGTTTACACAGCATTTACGTTTTAGATATAATACATAATCTAGAGATAGTTTAAAGTTTACAGGAGGATTGTGTAGCTTATATTGTAAATATTGTCATTTTATATAAGGAACTTGAGCATCCATGCATTTTAGAGTCCATACGGGACCTGGAATCAATCCCCTGAGGATACTGAGGGATGACTGGACCACAGTTTTTAAATCCATTCATCTGTCAATGCTTCCACCATTTGCTATTGTGAATAATGTTGCAGTGAACATGATTGTACAGATATCACTTTGAGATCCTGATTTCAATTCCCTTGGATATGTACCCAGAAGTGGGGTCACTGGATTGTATGGTAGTTCTAGTTTTAGTTTTCTGAGAAACCTCCATACTGTTTTTGACAATGGCTGCACAATTTTTCACTTCCTCCAATGGTGCACAAGAGTTTGGACTTCTCATCTTGCCAACAGTTATTTTCTGTTGTTGATTTTATTTGGTTTATGGTGACCATCCTTATGGGTGTGGGGTGACATTGTGGGTGTGATTTGCATTTCCCTCATGATTAGTGATGTTGAGTGTCTTTTCATGTGCTGGCCATTTCTCTTCTTTGGAGAAGTGTCTGTTAAAGTTCTTTGCCCATTTTAGTAGGGTTTTCTTTTATTGTTGAGTTGTAGAATTTCCGTATGTATTCTGAATATTTACCCCTTACCAGATTTGCAGTTATTTTCTCCCATTCCTCAGGTTGCCTCTTCACTGTTCATTGTTTCCTCTCATGCAGAAGTTAAGTCTGATGTAGTCCTAGTTGTCTATTTTTTATTTTGTTCCCTGTGTTTTTGGTGTCATATCTAAAAAATCAGTACCAAATCCAAAATCCTGGAATTTCTCCCTTGTGTTTTCTTCTAGGGGGTTAATAATTTTTGATCCTATATGTAAGTCTTTAATCCATTTGTAGCTAGTGTTTGTATTTGGTGGAAAGTAAGAGTTTTACTTTATTCTTATGCATGTAGGTATCTTGTTTTCTCAGCACCATTTGTGGAGGACACTGCCCTTTCCCGTTGTGCAGTCTTGGCACTCTTTCTGAAAATTGTTTGACCAGCTTGGCAAGGGTTTGTTTCTGGGGTCTCTATTCCTATTGGTCTATATGTCTGTCCTTATGCCACTACCGCACCATCTTAATTACTGTCGCTTTATAGTATGTTCTGAAATCAGGAAGTTTGAGGCCTCCCAATTTATCCCTCTTTTTCATGACTATTTTGGCTACTCAGAATCCCTTGAGATTCCATATGAATTTTAGGACTTTTTATCTATTTCTGCAAAAAAATGTCATTGGAATTTTGGCAGGGATTGCATTGAATCTGTAGATCACTTCAATCATTTGGTCAGTTTTACAATATTAAGTCTTCCAATCCACAAGCATATAGTATCTTTCCCTTTAGCTATATCTTCTTTGGTTGCTTTTAGCAATCTTTTGTAGTTTTCAATTTATACATCTTTTATCTTTTTGATTAAATTTGTTTCTAATATCTTTCTGATTTTATAGTAAATAGGGTTGTTTTCTCAGTTTACTTTCTGGAGTGGTCATTGTTAATGTATAGAAATGCAACTGACCTTGGAGTGTTGATTTTATATCCTATCACTTTACTGAATTTATTTATTGGTTCTAATAGTTTTTGTGTGTGGAATTTTTAAAATCATGTCATCTGTGAACAGAGAAAATTTTATTTTTTATAATGTCTTGTATTTCTTTTTCTTGTCTAATTGTTCTGGCTAGAAGTTCCAGTGCTATGTTGAATAGTACTGGTGAAAATGGGCATCCTTGCCTTGTTCCTGGTCTTGAAGGAAAGGTTTCAGTCTTTCTCCTATTTCCTGTGATATTTGCTGTGGGCTTTTTATTTATGGCTTTTATTATATTGAGATAGTTTTATTCTAGTCCTAGTTTGTTGAGTGATTTCATTATGAAAGATTGTTGAATTTTGTGAGGAGCTTTTTTCCTGCATCATGTGGGATGATCATGTGTTTTTTGTCCTTCATTTGTTAATGTGATGTGTTATGTAGATTGATTTTCCATCTTCAACTATCTTGGCAGTCCAGATATAAATTCCACTTGCTTGTGTGTATGATCCTTTTCACATGCTGTTGAATTCAGTTTGCTAATACAGTTACCCTTGAACAACATAGGGGTCAGGGGCATCGACTCCCTGCATAGTTGAAAATCCGCATGTAACTTAAGTTGACCCTGCGTATCTGCAAGTTCCAACCATAGATCAAAAATACTGTAGCTACATTTATCTTCAGCTGGTTGAATTCATGGATACGCAACCCAGGGATGTAGAGGGTTGGCAGTATATTTATTGAAAAAATCTTTCAATTTATTTCTGCTGACTTTGGATTTAATTTGTTTTTCTTTTTTTACTTTTCTAAGGGAGCAACTTAGGTTATGAATTTTAGGTATTCTTTTCTAATATATGCATCCAATGCTAGGAATTTCCCACTAAGCATGGGTTTCACTGCATCCCACAAATTTTGATGAGTTATGTTTCTATTTTCATTTAGGTCAAAATATTTTTTAATTTCTCTTGAGATTTCTTTTTAATACATGTGTTATTTAGAAGTGTGTTGTTTAATCTCCAAGTAATTGGGGATTTTCCACTGATCTTTCTGTCACTGATTTCTAGTTTAGTTCTATTGTAGTCCAAGAACAGACATTATATGATTTCTGCTCTTTTGAATTTGTTAGGGTGTATTTTATGGTCCAGAATGCTGTGCCTTGGTGACTACTCTATGGGAGCTTGAAATGAATATGGTTCTGCTGTTGTTGGCTGAAGTTGTCTGTAGCAGTAATTATACCCAATTGAATGATGGTGTGGTTGAGTCCTTACTGCCTGCTGAAGCTGTCCATTTCTGAGAAGGCTACTGAAGCTTCCAGCTATGAGAGTAGATGTGTATGGTTCTCCTGGCAGGTCAATCAGTTTTTGTCTCAGTTAGGTTGATGCTGAGTTAGGCACATGCATTGTGAATTGTTACATGTTCCTGAAGAATAGACTTCTTTATCACTATGTAACACCCCTCTTTATCTATGCTAACTTTTCTTGTTTTTAAATGTGCTGTGTCTGAAATTGATATAGCTACTACTGCTTTCTTAGGATTAGTATTAGCATGGTATATTTCTCTCCATCCATTTACTATTAATCTCATACATCTTTATATCTAAAGTGGGTTTCTTATATAGAACATACAGTTCATTCCTAGGTTTGTTTGCTTTTTAAGATCTTGTTTATTTTTAGAGAGGGGAAGGCAGTGAGAAAGAGAGGGAAAGAAACATCAATCTGTGGTTGCCTCTCATGCACCCCCAAGTGGGGACCTGGCCCACAACCCAGGCATGTGCCCTGACTTGGAATCCAACTGGCAACCCTTTGGTTTGCAGGCTGGCACTCAATCACTAAGCCACACCAGCCAGGGCTGGTTCTTGTGTTTTGATCCACACTGACAGTCTCTTTTAATTGGTGCAGTGAGACCATTTACATTCATGGTGATTATTGATATAGTTGATATATAATATCAGAAATGAATATATAGGTACCGTATTTGTTACTATTCTCTTTTTGTTATCTTTGTTCTTTGTTTCTCCTTTTGCCATCCACTCCTCTTCTGCCTTTTGTGTGTGTGTGTGTGTGTGTGTATGTTGTTGTTTTTTTTTTAGTGGATGCCCTTGAGTTTAAAACATACTTTTACAACTAACCCAAATCTACTTTCAAATAACATTGTACCACTTCATGGGTAGCATGAGTACCTTATAACAACAAAATAAAGCCAATTGCTTCCTCTCATTCCCAGTATCATTGTTTTCATTCACTTCATTTAAATAAATGCATAAAAATACATAATCGAATACATTCTTATATTATTGTTTTGAACATACCATTCTCTGTTAGATCAATTAAGAATAAGAAAAATAAGAGGGTTTTTTGCCTTCACTATACCTTTTTTGGTGTTCTTCCTGTCTCTCTGTCTCTCTGTACATCCCAATTTCTGATCTCTACTGTTTTCCTTCTCTATATGTGAACCTCTTTTTAACATTTCCTGCAGGGCAGTCTGCTGGTAACAAAGTCCCTCAGTGTTTGTCTTTTTTCTCTTTTACTTTTGAAGTACCATATTTTTCAGACTATAAGATGCAACCCCTTCCCCCAGTTTGTGAGGAATAATGGTTGTTAATACTGCTGTTGAGTTCTGTTTACATTTACATTGGTGAAATCTTATGTTATTTATGTTAGTAAATATTTTACCACATTTTTTGCTTCAAATTTTTTTTCCTATTTTCCTCCTCTAAAACCTGGGTGTGTCTTGTGGTCCAAAAAACACAGTATATTTTCACAGACTAAAGAATTTGAGGTTAGTGGTTTCTCTCTTCAAAAGAGAGTTGCCAATGGCGCTTGCAAAAATCAGAATTTAGTTAAAAAGCCTACCCTGCCTCAAATTTAATCAGCCTAATGAAATTCATTTTCACAGTATTATTTTTTCCTGACCTTAATTGGGCAAAATATCAAAAAGGTTAAGTAGTTTTAAATTCCTCTTCTAATACTTTACAATTCTCACCACTCTTTTAGCATTTCAGAGAGCTACTTTAGTCATCTTAAATGACTATTAATTTTTATATTCAGCTTAATAACCCACAACTTCAGACCATCTTTAATTTTTATATTCAAAAGGAACATGTACACTTCAAAAACAATGACAAAAATCAGAATGAAGGAAAATACTATATCAGTACTTTTCCCAGAAAGGATGCTTTCTATTTAGATGCACAGCTTTCAGATATTTTCAACATATAAAATGGGATCATTCTTGCAGTAACATTTGACGAACTAATTCTTCACTTAATATTCTAGGATACTTTCTATGTCAGTTCAACTTACCTATTTACGACAATTTTTTAAAAAATAACTATTTAATTTTTGGTATCTTGCAGACTCAGAGTTTAAATGCAAGACCAAGAAGTTACGTCCAAACATTGCAACAAACCTAAGCAATGCATCTATCAGAAACCATTTTCTGTAGCATGAAAAGGTCCCCCAGGAAAGAGAGGCTGCAAGAAAAATTCAGTCCTAATAAAACCCGAGAAAGTGCATCCAGGGAAGAATTCTTTAAAATATAATGACAGTGGGAAAATCTTTAGTCAAAGTTTATGTTTTAAACTCCATCAGAATTCTCATACTGAAGAGAAGCCTTATGAATGTAGTAATTGTAGAAAAGCCTTCAGACAGGACTCAGCCCTCATCCTCCATCAGAGAATTCACAGTGGAAGGAAAAGCCATGAATGTGGTAACTGTGGGGAAAGCTTCATTCAAAGAATGACCCTGAATGTCCATGAGAAAATGCATGATGGAAAGAAAACCTTTGGCTGCGGGAAGGCCTTCAGTCAGTGCCCATCCCTCAGTCTACATCAGAAAATCCACCTTGTGGAGAATACCCCCTGGTGCAGAAAGTGTGGGAAAGCCTTCATTCAAAGGTCATCCCTTTTACTTCATTGGAAGACTCAAAATGGAAAGACAATATGTAAATGCAGTAAATGTGCAAGAGGCTTCAGTAAGAGGTCAGTCCTTGTTGTACATAAAAGAATTCACACTGGAGAGAAAACCCATGAGAGTGAGAAGGCCTTAAGTCAGCAGGGAAGTTACCTTTTAGAGAACCCCTATAAATGTAGAAAATGCAGAAAATCCTTTAATAGGATTTCATCCACTATGCTTCATCAGAGAATTCATGCTTCAGAAAAACCTTACATATGTGATGAATGTCAGAATGTCTTCAGGTGGCTTTCAGCCCTTATTCTACATCTAAAAATTCATAATGGAGAGAAACTGTACAGATGCAATGAATGTGAGAAGGTCTATAATCGGCACTCATCCCTTCTTCAACACCAGAAAGTTCATACAAGGAAAAAGAAACTTTGAATATCAGGAATATGGGAAGATGTTTTCTGAAACTGCCAACCTTAAAATTCATCAGAACATTCATTCTGAAGAGAAACCTTTCAAATGCAATAAATGTGGTAAAGTGTTTGGCTTCCAGTCATTTCTTATTAAACATCAGAGAATTCATACTGGAGAAAAACCCTACCAATGCGAGGAATGTGGGAAGGCCTTTGGCCATCGAATATCTCTTACTCAACATAAGAGAATTTATACTGAAGACAGACCATATCAATGTGATCAGTGTGGAAAGGCCTTCAGCCAGAGTGCACACCTCACCCAACATGAAAGAATTCACAGTGGAAAGAAACCATACACGTGTAAAACATGCGGGAAGGGCTTTAGTCAATGCACATCCCTTATTCTACATGAAAGAAGTCATACTGGAGTAAAACCCTATGAATGTAATGAGTGTGGGAAGGCCTTCAGCAGTGGCTGGGACCTTATCCGACATCAGAGAAGTCATTCTTCAGAGAAACTCTATGCATGTAGTAAATGTGGGAAGGCATATAGTTGGAGCTCATTCCTGATTTGACATCAAAGTACCCATTCAGCACAGAAAGCCTAATATTGTTACAAAAGCAAGGACTGAGGCTCAAAGTAGCAGGGACAGAGGCATGAGGAAAAGACATTTGTCTCTAACAAAAATTTTGCAAAAATGGGATCATTTGATGATGCATCCCACTTTGAAAACCAAACAGCAAAAGTCCTTGGTGATTTTGACCTGAGAATTTGAAATTAACTGAGGCAGTGACCTAATCATAGGTCTTAATCAAGCTCAGATGATTGGATCCTTCGTTTTTCATAAAGATTCTTTATTTGATAAGAATCACTGATGGCTTTTTTTCCAATGTAGTTTTAAAGCTATTTTGTTGGTCATGTACAACAAGGCAGAATTGTAAAGTCCATTTTTGTGGGTGGGGCTTTGAACCTGATTTAATGTCATGTGAAGAAAGATTTTGGGGTTTGTTCCTTAGAACTAGAACTATCATATATAAGGGACTTCCTGGAAAACTAGGATGTCACTTTCAGCTGACAGAAATTTGTGGGTGATAATACAGAAGAGTGAATTCTTGAATGGGTAAAAATGACACAATTGTGTGGAACAAAGAGACATCACGATACTATCTCCATAGATAGGAGGTTTTATGACCTTTGTGATGTGAAAAACCTAACAAGCCTGACAGGGTAATAATGGTGAAGGGGGTGCGGGGAGTGGGAGTAAGGTGGAAACAGGATACACCAAAGACCAAGGAACTGCTGAGCAGAAATTATTTGTTTTATTTAAAAATAAATTTGTCTATATTTATATGAACATTGGTATTTTCAAGTAAGAACACTGGCATGCAGTAAGTACCTGATGGAGAATGGGGCCTCGTGGACTGAATGTGTCTCCTCCGAATTCATAGGTTGAAGCCTTTCCCCCCAAAGTGATGGTATTTGGAAGTGGACCCTTTGAAGAATAATTGGAGTTAGATGAGGTTATGAGGATGGAGCCGTCGTGATGGGATTCATGTCTTTAAAAGAAGGGACACCAGAGATTCACTTTCTTTGCCAGGTCAGGACAGAACTGTCTATAAGCTGGAAAGAAGACAGCTGTCTATAAGCCAGGAAGCTAACACTTCACAGCACCCAACTGTGCTAGCACCCCGGTCTTGGCCTCTCAGCCTACAGAGCCATGAGAAAGAAATGTCTGTTGTTTAAGACCCCAGTTTGTGGTATTTTGTTATAGCAACTGAACTGGTGAATATATAGGAAAACCCCTGGATCTGTGTACCAGGCTCTTCCCCTGTGAGCTGTTCACCATAATAGTGTCCAATCTCTTTCTAGCTTGTGCAAAATACGTAAGAATTGAAATCAGAGTTCTTTTTTGTAAGTGGGTTATATACAGTTGGGTGCTTCTGTGTACATTTTACCTCTGCAAAAGCTATTTTTTTAATTTTTTAATTGACTTTTAGAGAAAAAGGAGAAAAAACATTGATTTGTTGTTCCACTTATTTATGCATTCATTGTATGTGCCCTGACTGGGGCCAGGGATCAAACATGCAACTTTCATGTATCAGGATAGTGCTCTAACCAACTGAGCTACCTGGCCAGGGCTGCAAAAGCCATTTTTAAAGCACACATATCATATGGTATTTATCTTTTGCTTAGTATAATACTTTCCAGTTGCATCCATTCTGTCACAAAGCATAGGAGCTCCTTCTTTCTGCTGCATGGAATTCCATTGTGTAAATGTACTATAGTTTTTTGATCCATTCACTTGCTGATGGGCACCTAGTTTGCTTCCAGCACTTGGCTATTGTAAAGTGTGCTGCTATGAACATTGGGATGCATAGGTTCTTTTGGATTTGTGTTTCAGGGTTCTTAGGATATAATCCTAGCAATGGAATTGCTGGGTCAAAAGACAGATCCATTTTTAGTTTTCTGAGAAAATTCCATACTGTTTTCCACAGTGGTTGTACCAGTCTGCAATCCCACCAACAGTGCACTAGGGTTCCCTTTTCTCCACAACCTCTCCAGCACTTGTTATTCGTTGCTTTGTTTATGATGGCCATTCTGACTGGTGTGAAATACCATATGATTTCACCTTTAACAGGAACCTAATCAACAAAACAAACAAAGAAAATATAACCAAAGACACTGAAATTGAGAACAGGCTGACAGTGACCAGAGGAGAGAGGGGAGGGAATTTCAGGGGAAAAGTGGAAGGGTTTGCAGGAACAAGTATAAAGGACACTGGACAAAAACAAGGTGGGTGTGGGGGCTGTGATGGGGGTAAAAGGCAGAAAACTGTACTTTAACAACAAATAAAAATAAAAAACACCCGTATCTTGTTAAGAAAACTTTGTGGAATGTATGTTCACATGGGTTAGGTCTCTCTAACTTCGACCACAACTGAGGAAAACAACCACATTTGTGAAGTGTGATCATACATGCAGTATAAGGTATGACAATTTTTTATTTAAACTTTTCACATCAGTTCTATAAAATCATTTAAAAATCTCGAAGGTTGATTTTTATTACGTTTATTATTTACATTCTTATGCTAATTTCTGGTGTTCGTTGCTCTTCGCTTATTAAGGTGGAAATTGAAGTAATGGACTTGAGAGCTTTCTTTTAAAACTTAAGCAGCTAGTACTATTATATTTCCTTTTAAATACAGCATTACACATTTTGATATTCAATGTTCTATGTCTCATTCAATTCAAATACTTTCTATATTTCATTTTTTGGTTTTTCTTTTGACCCATGGGTTACTAAAAATTGGGCTATTTAGGTCCAGATATTTGGGGATTTTCTAATTATCTTTCTGTTACTGATTTCTAATTTAATCTATTCTGGTCACAAGAACATTTTGTATGACTTGAACCTTTTCAAATTTATCGAGACAAGTTGTAAGGCCTGCAGTGTGGTCTGTCTTGGTAAATGTGCTGGGTGCATTTGAAAAGAATGTATAGTATATTCTGTTCTGGGGTGGAATCATTTCAAAATGTCAATTAGGTCAAGTTGGTTGATAGTGTTGTTTAAGTCTTCAATATCCTTACTGATTTTCTACTTGTTCTGTTGAGAGATGCATTCAAAATCTCTTACCATCATGGATTTGTCTGTTTCTTCCTCTAGTTCTATCAGTCCTTTCCTTGACTTCAGGTAACTTCCACACATGTGTTCTATTCACTATTCTGATAAATACCATAGTTTACTCAGGTAAAAATTTTGCAGATGTCTGTGTTGTTTTTTCTCTAAGAGCACTCAGGCGCTTTATCCTGCGAAGTGTAACCACCTCAGTCTCCTGGAATCCCAGCTCCATCTCCTCCACTTGGAAACACTGCAACCTGGAAATTCCACATGCAGCTCCCTGGGGAGGTCATAGCACAGCACTCATCTCATTAGTGTCCCATGTCCCAAGGATCTCTCGTTGCCAGATGTCCCGAGTCTCTTAAACACCAAGGTTTTATGTATTTTGTTCAGTTTTTTAACATTTTAGGTGGAAGGGTAAACTATTCCCTCGAATTTCATTTTCACCAGAAGTGCAGATCCCAAATAAGCATTTTGTGAAGGAAGGGATCACTAGGGGTCAAGAATCTGTTTTCAAACAACATTTCAATTAACATTCTTGTACATATATTTTGTAAGGTTTTTTGTTTTAAGATTTTTATTTATTTGAGAGAGAGGAAGGGAGGGAGAAAGGGAGAGAAACACCAATGTGCAAGATATGGGTTGGTTGCCTCTCGCACACCCCCAACTGGGTACCTGCTCCGAAACCCAGGCATGTGCCCTGACCAAGAATCAAACTGGCGACTTTGGTTTGCAGGTGGGTACTCAATCCACTGAGCCACACCAGCAAGGGCACTTTTGTACGGTTTTACCAATGTTTTTGGAGAATGAATTACTGGATCAAAAGACAGGCATATTTTAACAGATACTGATAACTTGCCTTTGCTATTTAAACTAGTATCTATGTAGAATGAAGGATTATTAGAGGAATTTCAGGTACCTTCACCCAGTGCTACTTCTTTCCCACCAAGTTGGGACATATTGTTACAGGGTGCAGCCAAGAGGGGGGACCCCAAATGGGCACTTAAAAGGGGGTCCAGAACTTAAGGTGTCCAGGAGATTTTAAGATGTCTCCATCCCCCCACCCAGGGTGTGGGTTGGGGGAAGGGACAAATGGAGCATGGGCCATTGAGAGCTGTTTTGCATAGCAACAGCCTTGCAGCTACCCTCTGGCATGGTCATTTAACATATCTATAGCCTTTGGCTGGTTGCATGGATATGTTAAATAGCTGTGATCATCTCTGAGCCAGGGGAATGGAAGTAACTTCCCCACCAAGACGTGACTGGGGGCAGATTCCCCCAAGCTACAGCGCCTGCGTGGGAGCTCAGAGAAGATTGGCTCCAGGACATGGGGTCACGCCTGCCCAGACTCAAGATGGCAGCCCAGTAAAGCTGGAAGGATATGAATTCTGGCATGTGAGGCCGAGTGTGAGAGGAGTCGGAAATGAGGCTGCTTTAGGAAAGAGAACCACGCAGCTTTGGCAGAGTGGGGACTCTCCCCTTCCCACAGCCCTGAGGAGGAGAGCCATGCTGCTTTAGGAGGGAGAGCCATGCACAGCCCAGAGAGAGAGAACCACACGGCTTTGGCAGAGTGGGGACTCTCCCCTTCCCACAGCCCTGAGGAGGAGAACCATGCTGCTTTGAGAAGGAGAACCATGTGGCTGTGGAGGTGCAGAGAGGATCACGGCCATTGAGAGGAGGAAGAACCGTGCTGCTTTAGGAGAGAGAACCACGCGGCCTGGACAGAGTGGGGACCCCCACAGCTTTAGAAGGGGAACCACCACCTGGTTTTAGCAGAGATCCCGGCGACTCAGCCGAGGGTGCCGGGAACCCAGGGAGGTCTCCCAGTCGAGAAGGAGGACTAACGAAGAACCAGAGGACTGTCTGAGCCATGGACTTCGTTTTCCTTTCCTGAGATACGGTACTCTGGACTGGGCAAAGGGGGAAGGAAGGAAGGACTGTGTCTGTTTGTGGGTGCTTTAAGGGACTTTAGGATTTTTGATAAAGACATTAGGTCATTACTTTAAGTTTGTACAGCATTAAATAAACATTTCCTTTCCTTTTCACAAATCTCTGGCATTGAGAGACATCTTTCCTAGGGCGGCGGACAAAATGGACCCGGGGCCTTCTTTCAATAATAGTATATTGTCTCAGGCCCCCCTTGTTGTGTTCTGTAACAATATTAGCAAGGTTTTTCAGTTCCTTCTGCTTGCTTTTTCTCCATTACATTCCTCTTCTCAGAGGGTGCCAAAGATCCTGCCATGTTCTTTTAGTGTGTCCCTAATTGTGGTTTCCCTATTACACTTTTTAAAATTCCTCACTCGGGAGATACGTTTTATAGATTTTAGAGGAATGGGCAGGGGACAGGGAGAGAGAATGAGAGAAACATTGAACTGTTGCCTCCCCTGTATACCCTGACTGGGCATCAAACCTACAACCCAGGTATACACCCCAACTGGGAACTGAACCTGCAGCCTTTCCATGTATGGGATGATGCCCAAACCAACTGAATCACCTGGCCAGGGCTATATTACACTTAAATAGTGTGTGATATGAGGTGGTATCACTTTCCTATTTTAATGATGGTGGCATATTTATTTTTTGCCCCCCCCCCATTTTAGAGGGAAGTTGGATAAGGCTGAGTCTACAGTATTTCATAGGGCCTCTGCAGGGCTCTGCAGGGCTAGAACTTTAATTTTTGGAATGAGTAGAGTTCTTCCTGATTTAGCTGTTTATTAACAGGCAGTCATCTAGAGTAGCAGGAAATTTTAGTCCAGTGGTTCCCAAACAAGACGACATACTGAAATCACCTGGGGAATCTGATTTATGAAAATGCATACTTCAAATTATCAGGTCAGGGTTAGAGCCCAGGATTCTGGAACCCTAACAAATTCTTGAGTGATGCTAACACTGCTACTTTGTGGCCCACAATCGAAGCAGCAAGGATTTGGCCTTTACTTTGCGGTCCCTGCTCATTATCGGTCACACAATAAATCCCCTTTTTAGACCCTGTGTTTCTTGAGCCATCTGGTCCTTGTCCTGCCACAGAGACTAAACAGAGATAGGGAAACTTGAAAAGCCAGACTTTTGAAAGTAATGCTGTGGCTGAAATCAAGGTGTGTGTTTGTTTGTTTTGTTGTTGTTTGTTTTGTTTTTGTTTTTGTTTTTTGCCCAGATACACCACTGCTTTGGAGTAATTTTGTGCTCTCAAATGCAAGAGCAGCTTACTCCCAGGATTCTTACCACATTTAGCAACATTTCTTTGTGGACTTTGAGGCTCAGAATTGTATGTCTCAACTTCATCCAAGATGGAGCTTCCACATCTGATTCTTGTTCTTGTTGCTTTTCCTTGGTTTCACAGAGAAGGGGCAGGTAGAGACACCTTAGTTCCACCACTTAAAATTCAGAAGTTAGTAAATACATTTAAAGGTTCCTCATACACACATTCAAATTTGCCTTCTCATGAATTCACCACTCTTCTGTAGAGACCAGAAGGGACTGGGAAATGAAGTTTCCTTACTTGAAGCCAACTGTCTTTATAGATCAGATCCATCCTTCCTGAAAGTCTTAACTTCCTGGTAGTTGTGTCTCTACCTGACACCTTTGATGAGGGCAGCCTTCTTTGGAAGGCTTTGACAGTAGCTCCCCTGACCCAGGTGGCTCGATTGGAGCATCATCACATATGCCAAAAGGTTGTGGGTTCAGTCCCTGGTTGGAGTGCATATGGGAGACAACCAATTGATGTTTCTCTCTCACACCGATGTTTCTCTCTTCCCAATCCCCCTTCTCTAAAATCAATAAACATATCCAAGGGTGAGGATTAAAAAAATAATAATTATATGGTTGATTGTCCTAAGTAGATGGCAGGCAGTTCTTCAGATACTCTCACTATAGATCTGTTTCCCCAAATGGCAAGGGTTACTGGGATCTCTGTATGTTACTGGGAAGGGTAAGGGAGTCAATGAGAGATTCTGCAAATTCCAAAAAAGTGTCAGCTTAGGCTGCTCTCACTGTAGCTGCCCTAGTTCACAGTAAGTCCATTCCATTTTTTCGTACTTTAACTTTTAGAATCATGTTACATTCTTGTTTATAACATCAAATATTACTAACACTAAATTCTCTCTTGACAAGAATATCCAATTGAAGTCCCCTCCCCAAAAGAAACACTTACTGGTTGAATGTGTCTATTCAGAACTTTTTCTGAGCATATACCTACATAAATGTATCAGGAATGTATTTTAAAAATGTAATACTTTTATGCCCTGGCTGGCATAGCTCAGTGGATTGAGCACAGGCTTCAAACCAAAGGATTGCTGGTTTGATTCCCAGTCAGGGCACATGCCTGCATTGCAGGCCAGGTCCCCAGTGGGAGACACGTGAGAGGCAACCACACATTGATGTTTCTCTCCCTCTTTCTCCCTCCCTTCCCTTCTCTCTAAAAATAAATAAAATCTTTAAAATATATATATAATACTCTTATATATTCTGAAAAATTTGCTTGTTTCAATCAATGTCTTTTAGTTAAATCCACATCAATAGTCCATTCTTTTAAACAGCTGCTAGTATTTCTACTAATGCCTCTTCCAGTGTTTCATGTACTGACCATGCTGCCTTCCAAAGGAGCTATAGTGAACATTTTTAAAACTTCAGTGCCTCCAAAGTGGCTGTGATGAGTACTCTTTTTCTCCCCACCACTAACAACTTTTAAGATTACATTATTTAAATTTGTATCTCAATACTAGCAAGGTTGAGCAGGAACTCATTTACCAACCACCCATATTTCTTGTCGGTTTTGCTCATCCTTACCCTTTGTCCACTTTTATACTTGCTTAGTTGTCCTTTATTTATTGATATCTTACATCTCTCCCTTTGTATTAATTATCTCCCTTTCTGTTGCCTTTTAACTTTGTTTGAAAGCATGCTAACTTTTGATGTTAACCTCATTAATCTTCCTTTATGACTTTCATTTTGTCTATTTTAGAAAGATATGTCCAACATCAGTCATAAACATACTATATTTTCTTCTAACTTTTGCTAATTTACTTTCATATTTAGGATTTTATTGTATGGGAAGTCATTTTTGTGGGTGAAGAGTCCCATTCAGTGTACTTATGGAAGAGAGGGTGGAGTGGGAAGAAGCTGGGAGGGGATACTAACATAACTTTCATGTAGAAAAGCACTTAACAGTCCTGTCATTGCCTCCACAGTACCCCCAGGCTCCACGCAAGCCAACTCAGAGCCTGAGCCTCTGCAGGGATCTTTGCAGATGGGTCCCCATTACTGAATCCCTTAACATGTGAACGAACATTTTGGTTAGCAGTTTCTCATGCTACATCTCATGAATAAACACTGATCTCTTTTGCCTTTTACAAAATGTAACTTGTCCAGTGATGACCCTCTTTTCTGCTTTTGTTTCATACCTTTTACATTGTTTTATCTGTTTACTGGGTATAAAGGGGAGATACACTTGTGTGTTTAACTGCAAAGAAAATCTTGGTTTGCCCCATGAAAATTCTAATATTGACAGCTGCCTTTCACAAAGGTTGTACAGTTCCTATCTCCTCACCCAGCACATAGAAGTATCTCTTTTCATGTGCTTTTGCGATGCAGTTCATTGGTTTAACTTGTATTTCTTCTGATCCCAGTGAGATTCACTACTTACCATGTGTTCATCTGTCACCTGTTGCCTCTTCATACACTTTGCCCATGGGGAGAAGTGTCATTTTCTAAGTAATCATATGAGCACTCCTATATTAAGGATATGAATTTTATGAGTTAATGATTTCCTCTAATTCTGATGTTTGAACCTCTTATTTATACTATCTTTGACTATATAAACACTTTATTAAATAAAGTTCTCACACAGTCAAACCTAGAATCTTAGTGTGTGTGGCTTCTGGATACACATTGTGTTTAGGAAGATTGCTCTCACTCCAATGAATGATGGGGTTGTTTTGTACAGAGCCGAGTCAATTTTACCACTACTGTTAAGCCACTGGCATGAAATATCACCTTTATGATATACTTCCTTTATATGTATATCTGTATGAATGTATATGTTCACATAATCTTTCAAGCCTTAAGAAACTCTTAGGCTTTTGTTAGGTATAAGGAATCTATAGGTTCAACTGGGACCTACTAACACTTGTGTAATACTGAGTCTTCCCCCTCCAGAAGGGTGTTTTTCAAGTCTTTTATTCTGTTTTAATCATTTTTTTGTACCTGTATTCATGTGAGTTGGTTAATGCATTGATTGCATTCTCAGAGTCAGGAAGTAATATAAAGTGTAAAACAAGTCAGATATAAGGGAACAGGGAATGGTTTGAACTGTGGTAACTGGAAAACACATGCCCACCTAAAGGGATTCATATTTCTTCTAAGCTTGATGCACCGAGTCTAACATGTTTGTGGGCAGCAGTTCATGAGTAATTGATCTATAGTTTTGGTTTCCTTTCCTGTCAATCAGGAACTCCATTTTAAATGACAGATGTAATACAATGCATTCACGGGGAATTGGGAGCAAGGGTCAAACTTAGACTATTTTTCAGTCTTCTTTGGTTGACCTTTTCAAGTTTTCTTTTTTTAAGCATCTATTTTGTCTTTTGTAAATGAAAAATATGTATCAGTAAATTTTACTTACCGCAAGTTGATTTTTAAAAGCTGGCTTCTTAGAACCATGTAATGAAGTTAGTCATATCCCTGTATGTTCAAGCTGAACTAGAAGCCACCATCTCACTGTGTTATCATGTACTCTAACCTCAGTCCTGCTGTATAAGATTCCCTGGTCACCCACCTTTACAACAATGACCACTGTTCCTAATAAGAAATCTTTACCACCTCTTGAGTCCTGAGCTGCTGCTTTTATTTCTCAGCTAATCATTGTCAAAATGATCATGTTTTCTTTGTATAGCATGGTATCGTTTTATTTTACATTAATGTTTACTGAGTGAATGCTTTATGTCAGGCACTCTGCTGAGAAATTCACATGCATCATCTCACTTAATGCTCCCATTAACTTTCGAGGTAGTACCATTATTATTCCCATAACATAAATAAAACTGAAGCTCACGAAAGACAAAATGTTTCTCCAAAATTAGAGGGCAAAAATGGAAGAGCGAAGATTAGAACCAAGATCTACTTGATGCTGGAATATGAGTTTATAATTCTGGACAAGTCTCCAAAGAATGAGGTGGATATTGGCACAAGATGGGACTTTTTAAGGTAGACTGGAACAAGGTATTGGAGGAAGGTCTTTTAGGCTATTTTGAGGAATGTGTGCTTTAACCTTAAGAACTATGGGATGCCGCTGAGGGGTTTTAATGAGATATGATCAAACTATTTTTAATACAAGTTTGTCTGCAATGTGGACAACTGACTAAGTGGCAAATACTGGAAACCTGTTAGAAAGCTATTTCCATAGTCCATGTCAAGTAGATTATTGTGTACTGGACAAAGGTGAAAATGATTAAAGGAGTGAGATTCAAGGCATATTTAAGAGATAAAACCTACAGGTCTTGGCAACTGACTGGACATGGAGGGTGAGGGAGAGGAGAGACTCAAGAATGACTCCATAGTATGAATTCTTTCATGATGAGCCAAGTGTGCACGCTGCCTGAAAGATTTCCGGCAGTCCTTGCATTCATAGGGCCTCTCTCCAGTGTGAATTCTCTGATGCAGAGTGAGAGAGCCACTGTAGCTGAAGGCTTTCCCACACACATTACATTCATAAGGCTTCTCTCCTGTGTGAATTCGCTGATGCTGAGCAAGGCCTGCATTCTGACTGAACGTTTTCCTACATTCCTTACACATGTAAGGTTTTTCTCCAGTGTGACTTCGCTGATGTTGTGCCAGCGACGAACTATTGCTAAAGGCTTTCCCACATTCGATACATTCATAGGGCTTCTCTCCAGTATGGACCCTCTGATGCTGATCGAGGTATGCAATCTGGCTGAAGGCTTTCCTACACACTTTACACTCATATGGTTTCTCTCCAGTGTGAACTCTCTGGTGTTGAGCTAAGTGTGCATACTGACTGAAGGCCTTCCTGCATTCCTTACATTCATATGGTCTCTCTCCGGTGTGAATTCTCTGGTGTACGATCAGGTAACCACGATGGCTGAAGGCTTTCCCACACACATTACATACATAAGGTTTCTCTCCGGTATGAATTCGCTGGTGCTGAGCAAGAAATGAGCCATTACTAAAGGCCTTACCACACTCAATACATTCAAATGGTCTCTCTCCAGTATGGATCCTTTGATGCTGAGTCAGATGGGCAATCTGGCTGAAGGCTTTTTTACACTCATTACACTGATAAGGTTTCTCTCCAGTGTGAACTCTCTGGTGCTGAGCAAGGTGTGCATTCTGGCTGAAGGCCTTCCTGCATTCCTTACATTCATAGGGCTTCTCCCCAGTGTGTATTCTCTTATGCTGAGCCAGGTTTGCACTCTGGCTGAAGGTTTTCCCACATTCAACACAGGCATAGGGTTTCTCCCCAGTATGAATTCTCTGATGAAGAGTAAGGGATGAACTCTGGTTGAAGACTTTCTCACACTCATTACATTTCAAAAGTTTCTTTCCTACATAGACTTTCTTACGTTTCATTTCAACAGATTTTTTTCGGTAACTTCTCTTTTGTGGCTCATGCTTATGTACTCTTTCTTTGGTGGGAAAACCCTGTTTTATAGCAAATACTGCATCCTGGTGGAAACTTTGCCAAGATTTAGTGTATTCATTACTTTGATCTTCAGTGAGGATTTCTTTATGAGTGATGATCAGTTGACTAGGATGGACCTCCTTACTTTCCAACTTGTTCTTAAACCAGTCCCCACTTTTATAGTCTTCTCTTAAACTAGAACAGTCAAGATTATAACTAAAATGGCTTCTTCCCATTCTCATTACTTTGGATGATTCTTCATAAATAACTTGTTTTGATGAAAATTCACTGTTTTTAAATGCATACTCCCAATCTAAAAGATAGTAAGAAAAAAATCTTTTGTGTTTATGCAGTAGCAGAGAACTTTTAAAACAATCAGTGAATAAAATACATAAGTTTGAAGATTTAACAGCCATTAAACACAGTCTAAAAAGTATGATATTACAAATAACAAAAACTTAAGAAAGTTAATTAAGGACATAAATTAAGCATACATAATCAATAAGGTAACTACCAGAAAAATTAAAAATTGAAGAGGTTATTTAAAATCACAATCATCATTTTATATCTATGTTAATGTGACAGTCTCCAAGCACCCTTCCTCTCTTGCCTCAGTTTATCCTGCATTCAAGATATGTTCATTATCTAGAAAAACCCATTTCATAATATCAGTGTGGCTAAAAAACCTCCATAAGATTCCTAGACCCAAACACACACCAGGTACTATTAATCACCTTTGGCTGTACATGAAACTCTATGATTAAACCTTTGCAGTCTGAGAAAGATCTTCCTGAATATCATTTTCTATGAAATATAGTCCAACCAAATGTAAAATTGTAGTTAATTCCTGAAGCTGAGGTGTCTTCATATAGAAGTAATTTAGCATCAAATTATTTTATTAACCTGCCACAGACCTTAATTTGCCCTCCCCTTCCCATTCCCAAATCCAATCATCTATTCATCTCAAGATTTCCCAATGGTTTCCCACCACTTTCAAAATAAAACCAAAATTCATATCATGGTTCACAAAACCAACGTAGCACATGAGCATACATGGAAAACCTTTAATAACATTATAGCAAATCAAATCCAAAAAATATGAAAGCACAGCATGACCAAGTATAGTTTATCCCAAGAATGAAGGTTGGTTTAATATGTGAAAACCAATCAATGATCACTATGTTAACATATTAAAGATGAAAACCATATATCATTTTAATAAATGTAGAAAGATTTATTAATTCACTAAATGTATTAATAAAAATTCTCAGCAAGCCAGGACTAGAAAGGAACTTTCTAAAACTAATAAAGGAAATCGAAGCAAACTAAATTAACTTAATGGTGAAAGATTAAATACATTTCCCCTTAGGACTGAGAACAATGCAAGTATATCTGCTCTTACCAATTGTATCCAACATTGTACAGGAGGCCCTAGCTATTGTAGTAAATCAAGAAAAACAAGACATAAGAATCACAAATAACAATGTATTAGCAGATAACATGATTGTCTATGCAGAAAACACTCAGGATCCTACAAAACAACTACTAGAATAACTACTTGGATGAATCTAGCAAGACTATAAAATGTAAAGTTAAGATAAACATCACTTTACATTCCTGCATATTAGCAGCAAACAATGGGAAGAAGGAGCTTTCTATTACAATAACACACACAAAAAGAAACAGATAAAACCTTTTTTTTAGATATTTAAGACCACTGCGTTGGATACTACAGAATATTACTAAGAGAAAGAAGACTATCAATGGCTAAATAAACCATACTCGTGAGTCAGAAAACTCAATGATGTTAACATGTCAATTTTCCCCCAAACTGATGTATAGCTTCATCATAATTCAAATCAAAAATTTTGGGTAGAAATTCTCAACTTCATTCTAAAATTTATATGGAAATGTGCAAAGGTCTAAAATAGCCAAAGTGATTTTACAAACTGAAGTATCTGATATCAAAATTTACTAGAAAGCTACCGCCATCAAGACAGTGTGGTATTGGTGAAAAGCCAGACATCTAGATCAGGCAGACAGAATGGAGTTCAGAACCAGACCCAAGCATTTATGGGCAACTGATTTTCAACAAAGGTTCCAACAAGGCAATATAACGGGTAAAGGAAAGTCTTTACAACAAATGGTACTGTAGCAACCGAATATCCAAAGAGGGGGAAGTGAACTTCAATCTTTATCTTACACGAGACACAAAATTAGCTCAATGGATCATGCACCTAAATGTAAAAACCAAAATGTAAAATCCTAGGAAAAACATGGAAGAAAATGTTGGTGACCTGGGAATAGCAAGAATTTCTTAGATATGGCACAAAAGCACCAACCAAGACAAATTAATAAACTGGAATTTTAAAAAATTGAAAACTTTGGATGCTCAAAAGACAGCAGTAGAAAAACAAAAACACAAACCACAACTGGAATACATATAAATGACAAAGGTATATCTAAAGAAAGAACTCTTACAACTGAAGAAAAGAAACAACCCACTAAAACAGGGGCCAAAACTTGAACAAACACTTCACGAAATATATAGAATGGCCAATAAGTTCATGAAAAGATGCTCAATGTTATTAGTAAAAGAGTAATGAATAAATAAATGAAACAATTTCCTTTAATCTAAAAGAAATGAGTGACTAAAAAAGGAAAAGCAGAGGCATTGCTGTGTGTGGATATTTTAAATGTGATGGAGCAACTTATGCAAAAGTAAAAGACAAGGACAAAGAGACCCTGTGACCTTTGGACCCAGAGAACAGGACAGGTTATCAGAGAAGACAGTAAGGTGTGAGAGAATATACACAAGGAGAGTAAGTTGAGGAGCTCATGCTAAAGACACCTCAATGCCTGTCCCAGGCCTGAAGCAACTTGAAAAGCTACCCAGAAGGTATCAGTTACACAATGGAACCTTTCAGAATGGCAGAGATTGTTTTCCTGCAGTGGCCTCACCTCCTGAGTCCTCTCACTCACCGGAGTATGTGCCTCCTGTCCCCACCTCCTTCACCATCCAGGGCTCTTTTCCTTGCTCCAACAGTGAGATCACCTCTGGCTTAGAAACTGAGACTCCTGCTTGGAAGAAATAAAGAGGCCATCAGCTAGGCTCTTAATCAGATCAAGTTTCCTGGTCATCAGGAGGTAAGGGCATTATAGAGGGAGTTAAGGAAGAAGTGTTCTGAAGAATGTGGAACAGGAAGTTGCAGAAATAGTTTAATGAAGCTGTCAATTGTACAAAACTTGGCCTATTTGCAGGAGCAACAAAAAAATTCAGTGAATTATATTAGAGGCTTCTCAAACGTTAGGCCGGAGATCAGCCCTATGTGCAGATTCTGAATTACGGGAGACCTTACCCAGTAACACCAGGTTCCTGTAGTTCTCCAACATCACCTTTCTGTACAAATTCCTCTGAGCAAGATTCAGCCATTCCCACTCCTCTTGAGAGAAATCTATAGCCACATCCCCAAATGTCACCAAATCCTGAAATGAAATAAACATACTCCTGTCCAACTAGTGTTCTTACCCTCATATATGCATAGTTTGAAGAGCTAAATCATCTATCTTTCAGAAAGAAATATTACACATTAGTGCAATTTTCTAGTAGTGAATCTTGAGTTCTGAACAACACATATCAAATAATTGCTGGATGACTTCTCTGTGCTTAATTTTGATGTTGCCATGGTAAGTGTACAATTTCATAGTCTCTAGTGATGGAGAAAAGATTTATAAGACACACAAAAATGAGAAATAACAACATTAACAATCAAGAGGAAAATAATGTTATTCATGCTAAATGCTAGAGCATTTCTCAATATGGAAAATAAGGCTGGACTGGGCCAGTGAAGAAAGGCTTCAAGGATGACAGAGGACTGTGAGTTGAGCCTTCCAAGATATATGTGGTCTAAACCAGCATTTTTCCAAACTCTACAGTGGAATGTTCCGGATATAACAATAGGATGTATGTATATATACACACACATCACTCTATGCTACTGATGCTTATAATATGTAATAAAATAGTAAACAATTCTTATAGTGATGTTTCAAAAATATAATTTAAATAAACGTAAGCCATCACAGGGAACAAACAGGGGAAACAGAAGATTATCTAACAGCTCTTGAGAACCCCACTGAGTTTCAATGACAGCTGGTAACCTATCATGCTACCTAAGAGACAAAATAATGGCAATTTTAAACACTGTTAATTAACAAATACTGAATATTTCCAATGTGATTATGAAGTGATCAAAAATACCTACCACCCTCACTTGAGGGACACACCCAACTTCTCATGTTTAATGAGTGAGAGTTGTTGCTGTGTGCTGAACTACGGATCTTACTTATAGCGTGGTACAGGACCTAGTCTGGTCCCTAAAAACTCAAAATGGGCCATCTCCCTAACGAGTTCCATCTGTTCCAGACTTACCAGGGCTTGCTGGATGGTTCCGTTCATGGTTCTTAGGTCTGATGTGTCACAGAGCAATGCCTACTCTTAGCTGAGCCGACAGACAAATGACACTCAATAGGACATACCTGGACAGCTGAACCGACTGGTCAAACCCTGAACGACCACCCCACAGGTTGGTGAACAGCCACTGCACTGAGTCTGGCTGACAGCCATGCCTGATCTCCCCTCAGTCCAGCAGCAGAGGGGTAGGCCTGGCACAGCATGGCCTCTGGGACCCCAGCTAGAATAAGTTCTGGTGTATTCCCCAGCCTCAGTGGTTGTCAAATACAAACATCACTCCTATTCTTCCCTGACTCTATAGAGTAATGCTCCCACTGAAGATTTATTTAGGCACATCAGTAATTTCACACAAAAACATTTTTAATGGAAAAATTAGTCAAAATATGAATCACTAATGCCTAAGTAATAGCCTATAGGGGAAGCAAAAATATGACTCTCATCAATATCAGTTACATGCATCAGTTTCAATCACTAAAACATGTATAATCCAGGGAAATTTGAAAGGTGAGTAAAGGCTTCAAGGAAGGAAGGGAACTTGGATCTGAAAAGATGAACCTTGAGCTAGGCAGGGTGAGGCACTGTTGACCATCAACTATTAAAACTCAGACTTTCAATTCAAACTCTTTAAAATTTTGTGCAAGAAAAGTGTTCCTCACACATAATTTCTTCTGTAGATAAAGGTGAGGTAGGTTTTGCTAGATAAAGTCTTAAAGACATTTTTTTAGCTGCCCATACAAACTAATGGATTCTAGGTTTCAACTGTCTTATCGACATTTTTATCTTGGCCAATGAGACATGACTACCTTTCAAATATTTTTACATTTATGTTGGTTAGAGAAAACAGAATTTGCATACAATTTTGTCATTATTAAGGAAACGGAAAAAATGATATTCAGTATTTCTACCTTCAGTGAATTCTTTCCCTTTTTAAGTTAAAGAATTGGAAGTCCTCCACCCTCCACATCACCCTACCTCCTAGAAGCAATCAAAATTTAGTTAGTATGTATTTGTTTAAATGTTTCCTTACACAGACATATCTATGGTCATCTATACATATTCATTTACTTAGTTTTGTTGGATGGATAATATCACATGGTATACACATGCCATATCTTATTTATACGAAACTCTGTATTACTTTCAAGTTATATGAATCTTAATTTTTCACTCCGATTCTGCAGTGTCTATTTCCTTAAAATATATTTCTAGATGTTTTCTCTCCCTTGAGACTAGGATTTCCCAGAATTATTTAACCTCAAAAACATTTTAAATTACAATGTTTTGACCCAACAATTGAGGCCAGGAGTCAAGTGTTGACCTGGACTCAAAGAAATACTAGCAGGTGGGTTTCAGGGAGAAGAAAAATGAGAGGAAATGGAAGCATGGAAACACAGGAAGAAATTAAGAGGCCCAAACAGTACTTATAAACCATAGATAACATCTACTACTAATATGTTATCTTGGAGTTAAACCACTATAGGGGTCTTATCTTGTTCAGGAAGTGGTAAGAGTGCTAATTACAGAAAAAAGATTACAGGAGGAAGAAAGAGGATTATTACCTAGTGAGTAATAGATACATATTATCCTAGAGTGGCCTTTAAAAGAATAATGTAAAGTTAACAAGATAATACGGGGAAAATACCTGATTTATCCAAAAGAAGGCCAAAAAAGGAGAAATCGAGGAAAAGAACAGATGGGATAAATAGAAAACAAACTGCAGTATGGTAGACTTAAACACAAATGCATCACTAATTACATTGAATGAAAATGTACTAAATACTAATTTAAAAATCAAGATTATCAGTCTGAATTTTCAAAACCGATGTTTTGTGGGGAGACACAGGGACTGTGAGAGGCACCTGGGGTGACCCAAGAGCCCAGCTGTGAGCATGGGATGGGAAGAACACCAGACATCAGAATGCTGCTTCCAAAGGCACACTTTACATACAAGCTTTAAAGGCAGAGGTTCTCAAAAAATGAGCATTAACATAATCCTGGGACTCAGTGAAAATGTGGTTTCCTGGGCCCCACTACCAAAGACTGTGTGGCTCAGGAGGTCCAGGGCAGGATCCCAGACACAGCACTTAGAGTGACAGGCCCTATCTGGTCTACACATCATACCCTTGTTTTCTCCTTCCATTACCAATGCGGGCAGCAGAGGAGAGGTAGCTGGCTCTAGTATCCATGGGCTTGTTCCTTTGTTCATTCACAGGTGAATTTGGCATAATCAGGGTGGGGCAAAAGTAGGCTTATAGTTGTGAGTGTGTGAAACAGAGTTTATTCTTGTATTATTATTATTTTCCATACAACTGTAAACCTACTTTTGCCCCACCTTGTACTACCTACACAGTTATAAGAGTTGGGAATACAAAGGTGGACAAAATATAGTCCCTCCCTTTGTAGAGTTAATATGTTAACAGAGGAGAAAGACATTAAATAAAAGGTCATACAATGTGAGATAGCATTAACTGCTCTGACAAGAAACAAGAAAAGGTGACTGAGAGTGACAGGGGTATTTATTTTAGATAAGATGATCAAGATAAACCTAAATAAAGAGGTTTATTCTTGTCTGAACAGGAATCTAAAGAAAGTAGCAGAGCAGGCCACATCAGCATCTGTTCAGAGACAGAAAGAACCCGGAGTGTCTGAGGAACAGCAAGCTGACCAGCATGACGGGAGCAGACAGGTGTCAACACCTGCAGAAAACGAGGTCTGGGGTACCCTGGGGCTGGACCACATAGGGCCTTAGAGCCAGTTTTCCTGGCTTCATCATTTGATAAGCCCATATTTGTGCTGTCCATTATACCAGCTACTAACCACATGTAGCCAGTTAAATTTAAATGAGTTAACATTACAAGTTCAGTTCCTTGGTCACACAAAGTGCTCCATAGCCACGTGTGGAGCTTGTCTATCATCAATCGTCACAAGAAGGTCCACTGGCCAGTGCTGATTCCTGCTTCTGGCTCATCTTCCTCTTTACAACCATCCTCTATATTTTCATCCAGCAGTTTGCGTGGCTTTATTTTTTAGATTGAACTTACACAATGTAAGAAAGAAATTTTTTTTCTAAATGAATAACCCATCCCATCTTCTCTGATTTAACATCATTATATTATAGTATCATATACAAACTAGTAGATGCTTAAGTTCCACATAGACAAAGGCAGAGTCTGTTTTTATTTACCACAGTATTGCCAGCACTTGGTACAATAAGTCTTTAATAATTATATGTTTAGTGAATGAATTGGTATTTTCCATTCTTTTTAAAAAATTTTTATTTATTTTTTAGAGAGGGGAAGGGAGGGAGAAAAACAGGGAGAAAAGCATCAATGTGTGGTTGCCCCTTGTGCACCCCTCACCAGAGACCTGGCCCGCAACTCAGGCATGTGCCCTAGATGGGGAATTGAACCGGCAACACTTTGATTCATAGGCGGGCACTTAACCACTGAGCCACACCAGCCAGGACAGTATTTTCCATTTTTATTTATACTTGCATTTGTTTCTAGACATATGCCAATCTTTTCACTTGTTCCTTCTGGCTGCCATTCCAAACTATTTACAGTTAAAGATGTATGTAGCCATTTTTAAATGTGGATTCAAGTACTCCCTATTATTATTCTTTTACTAAACATTTCCTGCTATTTTTCCATATTAATTCCACTAATCTTAACTGGATGACCTAGAGTATACTACCTACTGCCCACCACTCAGGATGTCCCTAAAACAGGACCTCATTACTTTCATGTAATCCTACTCAAAGCCCACAGCATGCCTGGAAAAATCCCCGTGCTAGCTGACCCATGTTTTACTACTCACAATGAAACACATTAGTTCCTCAAAATTACCTTGAGCAGGAGACCTTGCCCGGTACTGTGATTAAGACTACCCAGCAGCCCTTATCTTGCCTTTTGATCAAACCCAGGCCTGTGGAAAAGCTCCAAGCTGTTGGTTATATCTGAATGAACACCTTGACCTCAATGAATTAAGTCCCTACAATGAAGGAGTACTTCCCTCCCTTCTCCAGAGCTCCTAACCCAAGGAGGTGCTAAACTATGTCTTGAATGAAAATGAAAATGCTAAGAGAGAGAGGGAGCTCACAGGGCTCTTAGGGACCTCCTTTTACTGGACTGAAGAGCATGAGGATCAGGTCACTAATGAATGGGACTTCGTTAGGCTGGGGAGTTTCAGAAGAAAACCAAAATGTTCACGTAACACCTGAAAAATGAGGCATTTCAGAGAAGGGAGAAGAAATGCTTCCTTACCTTGGACATGGCTTTAAGAACTTAAGAATTTATGACAGGTTCTCTATCTTCTTGCTTCAGGTTCCTCTCTGGCAGGAGGACAGAGTCTGGAGAAGACAGAGCTGAGGAGGAGAAAGAAACCCTGCATCGCCAGCCTGGAAACCTCCCTGTCCTTCTCCTCCCACCACAGACATAGAGGTGTCACTGAATCTGTCACTCCTGTCTAAATTTACAGTTCTTTTTCCTGTGTGCTTTAAAGCTCAAGAACCCAATATAAACTTTCTCTGTGTAGGTCAGCTCCTCTCTTATAATCATAAACAATAACAGTATCAATGGTTCAGAATGACACTACCAAGTAAAGATCACCACCCCCCCAACCTTCACACATGACAGTATTCAAGGCTTCACGGTAATAAGCAATTGAGCCCAACTGGAATCCAGGTCCAACTTTTAATCTTTCTACCGAATGCTGATGTTGAAAAATGTCTACAAAGATGAGAGATATGCTACACAGTGACTGCTTCTGAGAAAGCATTTTCACACAGAGCAGACATCAGAGAGGGCATGTGATCTGGAGGACACTGGACCAGAGTCAGGACACAGAGCTTCTGGTCCTGGCTTAGGACTAACTGCACCTGCAAACCAATCTCTACTTTTCTGGTCAATTCCTCATGAGAAACGGGGGTCAGACTACACATGAACAGTCACTGAAGCCCCTTAATCAAGAGTTAGTTCCCACTAACTTGCAGCCTACTTACTGTAAAAACCACTAATTTGGGGATCATAATGCCTCGAACACCCAATCCACCACTGCTTACTAGCTCTGCAACCTCCCTGGAGTTTCCAAACACTCCAACCTTGTTTTCTCATGATCAGAAAAATGGGACCTCTAACCTATCAGCGGTCAACACGACCTGGAGACGATCCACATAAAGCACTGAGCACAGTGCCTGGACATCCTTTGTGATCGATCCATCCATGTCAGTCATCACGCCATTTATTTTCGGGAACAGCATACAGTGGGTTCCCTCACTTCCTGTTCCAGCAGCCTGGGCTTCTGCTGTCCAAGCCTAAGACTGGGGCTGCTCCATGTCTCCTCCTCTCCTTCCCTGTCTTCTCGGATGATTGTGCACCTCTTCCCCTTCATCTCAACGCTGTCCCCAACCCTGGGGCACTGGCGTCCCCATACCGCACAAACCACAGGTCTTCTGCTGGCAGCTCCCCTGCAGCCCTCAGAGTCGGCCCCACAAGGCCACTCTGGGCCCGCTGTCACACTGACATACAGTGTCACACAAAGTGTCACAGTCCGAAGGACACACTCTTACGCGGTCTCACGTGACGATACACCCGGCCGCACAGTTGCCCACTCATTGTTACAGGCAGGGTCGCATACATTCTCTCACAAACAGTGACAAGGCCTTACGCTGTCGCGCGCGCGCGCACACACACACACACACACACACACACACACACACACACAGTGATGCTGTCTTACACATGATCGCCCCTGGTCCCACTTTTTTCCCTCAAGCGGTGACAGGCCCGTTCACACACACGCCCGCCCACCCGGGACTCCTCACCACCTCCTGCCGGGGGGTCGGCACCTCCCTCCGCGCTGCGGGCAGAGGCCGGAGGCCCAGCATCCCCGCGAGCCAGGGAAGGAATTCGATCCCGGGGTAGACGAGCGGACTCACAAAGGGGCAGCGGAGCTGGGGCGGGCAGCCAGTGCCGGCCGCGGTGGCCGCTGGGAAATGGAGTCCAGGTCGGGACGCGGCGCAGAGCATTCTGGGACTGCTCGCCTGAGGCGCCGAGGGGTCCGGCTACCTTCTTTTTCCAGAGGTTTCTGCGGTGCTCCTCTGCCCTCGGGATGTACCACGCGACCCAGCCTTTTCAGGTCTCTGGACACACCGCCTTCCCACCGAGGCTAGCCAAGCCCGGACAGGCCGGCCGGGATTGCGCAGGTGCAGCTTGCTCGGGTGCCCAAAGGTGTCCAGGGGCTGTACGAGCACTAGACGGCGCGACGAACAGGGTTGTGATGCACTAGCGCAGTGGACGAGCCTGCGAGAAAAGGGTTCGCGGAGGGTTTGCGAGTGTCTAAGACCTCAGGTTTTCCTGGATTTCTTTCCTTTTTCTGTTTCTTCTTCTCTCCTCCCTGTCTTCGTAGCCATTTACAGAGCGCCTCTTTGCCTGGCACTGTCGTAGGCGGTAAAGACACAACTGTGAGCACGAAAAAATACCCCAATTCTAATGTGGGAGAAATTCAATAGAAAAGAGAAAAAAAGGATACTGATGTGTGTTCGGGAGTGATACGTGTTACAAGGAAAAACATAGCGGAGTTTATGGCTCATTCTTTTAGTTCATCATTCTCTTGGTAATGCCCTCTTATTCTTAACCTACGACTTTGAAAATATTTTACAAACTCCTACCGCTAGTTCAATCTTCCATTCATGTCTCAGCTTTTCCAAAATTGGATTGCACACTTAAGTGCTTCAAGATAACTTGTCCCACCAAAGTCACCAATGACAAAAAGCAAAGATTATTTATTTATTTATTTACTTATTTATTTATTTATTTATTTATTTATTTATTTATTTATTTTTAGAGGGAGGGGAAGGGAAGGAGAAAGGGAGAGAAACATCCATGTGTGTCTCTCATACGCCCCCTACTGGGGACCTGGTCTGCAACCCAGGCATGTGCCCAGACTGGGAATCAAACCAGCTACCCTGTGGTTCACAGGAAGTCATTCAATCCACTGAGCCACACCAGTCAGGGCTGATCTGGGAATTTTTATATGGAGGAAGTAAAAAATGTAATTGAAGCACTGTTTATATATAGTAGTAAGTTGTTGAGATAAACAATATGGCTACAAGTAGAGCAATGATTAAATAAGTAATCTGAAAACTATGATTTATAAAAAGAAAAACTGATGAAGTAGTATGTGAAAATATATCTTAGGTTTTTTTTTTAAGTAGGAACAAAACTGTTACAATTACATTAAGATTCAATATTAGAAAACTGTTCCTATGAATAAAAAGTTAAAGGAACACAATCCACAAAATTGGTAGTTGGTTTTGTGTTTGATGAAATTCTGGTTATCTTCCCCCTTGCTTTTTCCAAACCATATAGACAAATTTTATGTAAGGTGAGACATATTAGTAGACCACCAGGTTTTTGCAGCCTTTTCCATATTTCACAAATATATGAGGAAAGGGCCTGAAGATTTGTGGCAAAATTTTTCATTTTCAGACATTGTCTCTGTAAGTTTCTGTTGGCAGAGTCCTCTACAAAGCTTGGCAATAAAGTGAATCAAAACTTAACTTTGATTTACATAAAACCATATTTATCAATTTCAAATTGGCAATGAGCAGATGTCTGCCACTGTATCTAAGTTTAATCTAATAATTAATTACATAATCTTGAGCAGCAGAGATAGAATATGGAATCCTGAGAGCCAGACACATTTATTTTGCCCTCAATAGGCACAATGAAGATGCAATACATTTATGTTTTTCATGGCTTAATATGGAGCAATTTTAAGTCCATGGTCTATTATGAGTCAATATTTGTAAGTAAGTTTGAGGTCAAAGTTTTATTTGCGGGTGGGGTGGGGTGGGGGTGGGGGAAGAATGTCTAATGGTTCCAGCATGGTTTGTTCAAAGACTATTCTTCCTCCATTATATTGCTTTTGTGCCTTTGTCAAAAATCAGTTCAGATAGCTGACAAGAGCTTGTATCTAGAATATGTAAAGAACACAAAGTGACAAATAAAAACACAACAGTATTAAAATGGGCAAAGGATTGAATAAATATTTCTCCAAAGAAGATACACAAATTAAAATATGCTCAACATCATTAGTCCTCAATTATGACTTATCTATCTGAAAGTAACATTTCCTAATTTAAGGTTTTGGTTCAGACTTTTCCCCTAAAACGACACTCCATATTTCTACCTGTACATCTGACAGACATTTCAGTCTGTCACATTGCAAACCAAACACCCAATCTTACCTCCCCAAATGTACTCCTCTCCAGGTTTTCTTATCCCACTGATGTTACTGTTCTTCTGGTTGTTCAGCTCAGAAACCCCTGTAGTTATCCTTGACTACTGCTCTTTGTCATCCTACTCCACCCAATCAGCAAATCCTGTCAACTCCACTTTAAAATATATACAGAATCATGGGGCTGAGCTGGATAATTAATGGCTCTTCCAACACCCCTAATGGGAAGCTGGCCAGAGAGTCCCCAGGCCAGAAGGAATGTGTATTGTTTTGGAAATAGATTATTAATTCCCTCATTTCATTTTGGGAGTGCCTTCTTGTCGTGTGACTGCCTATTGACCTTTTTCTTTCTACACGTACACACTGAAGTAACGTAGTTTAGAGTCATGCAAGACTGTGCCCCCTTTGTCTGGGACCCATTAAAACAAGTCTGACTCAGGGAGGTGCAGTCCATTGGTGGTTCCCGTGAGTAATAAAGGCTATGTGTGCTCCACCCAGTCTTCCTTGTGGTTTTTTCTGCTTATCCAAATGGGCAGTCAAAATTCCCCAGCTCAACCTCCTGCATTGTAAGAATCCAACCCCTTTTCAACAACTCTGCCACCATCCTTAGATTTGAGGTGGACATTCACTGGAAGAGGTAGATCACTGGCTTGGAGCCATGGTCACTTCTGGGAAATGTAGTTGAGTCCCATAGGTCAGGATAAGCAGAGAAGACAGCCCAGTTTATGGACCTGAGATCCGAGTCCAGTCTGGTCACACTGCCTGGCCACAAATGACCTGCCCTTACTGTTGGACCTCAGGTTCCTCACCTTCAGCCTCGTTATGCCATGCTTTGTGGTCCTGCTCAAATCTGTTCCTAGTTAGGCCTGATGCTCTGCCTATAGGACTGACCAGAAGTTCTGATGTTAATTCCATTCCTTGTAGTTATCTCTTGAAAATGTCTACCCCAGCACAAGCCTGGAATGGTCTAGTGACCTCCTGTGGGCACCATCGTACCCTATCTCCTCCAGGTCTTAGCCCAGGGTCTAGAGTCTCTTTGTTTGGCTGTTTCCATGGGGCTTCATAGCCTCTGTGGCATCATGTCTTCTGTCTCTTCTACTCCAGAGTTGAATCTCTTGTCCACTGTACCATGATGCCTGTCCTGTCTCTTGAGATCCTTTGTCCAAGACCCCACACTGGTTCATCCACCACTCAGAAACCAGAAGCAGCATTTCCTCCACCCATAAGTACTAAGGCCTTGTAGCCACACTCTGACCCACAAATTCCAGTCACATCAGTTTCCCCAAATTGTGTTGCATCAACTGAGCAAATCAGTGCTCTGCCTTGGTTCCTTCTCTCTGCTCTGAGGTCTGAGAAAGCCACTGCGACTGCAGGAATGCCTTTATTTCCCATCTTGCATAACCAATTGTCCAAAGTCTGGAGACTGGTTTCTTACACATTATCTAGTTTTCTGTTTAGAGCTGGCCAGCAAGTTTAGTACAATTACACCACTGTAGTTGGGAGAAAGGAAACCTCCCTGATGTTGTTTAAGCATTTCCCTTTTTGGCACAAGAAGATAACTCATACTCAAATTGTCTGTTTCCAAGGGAGACTCTGGATGTGGTTCTAGCATAAATAGCACCGACCGGAAAGGTTTCCTCATTCAGAGGCCAGGCATAACAAGGCCTAACCAGCACCCAGGACTGGGACTCCTAACTACAGGGGGCCACGCTTCTTCAGAATGTGTGGAACCCTTATGTGTGAAGCCCAAGGGTCCCCATGCCTCCACACACAGAAGTCGACTGCCGGGAACTGGGCCTAGATGTCGTCTCATTTGGAACATTTTTGCCAGTTTCGTATTCCCATTCCCAGTCTATATTTGTTTCAATGTAAATATAAATTTTTAAAATTGGTTATCAGATAAACTCACGGGCTTCCCCCCTCACCCCCCACCAACCCTTCTGGTAAAATGGCTGCCCCACAGAAATGATGACTTACTAAATGAGACAATTTGTTCACCCATTCTTTTACTCAGTCACAAACAAGCGTTGAATGGTTCCGATCGTGGACAAAAAAGGAACCACCAATAAAACTGACAAGCTCAGGATGGGCCTCCATACGGGCCTTAACAACTCAAGAGATCGAAAGTAACCACGTTATGATCTGAAATATCTGATGTCACCACCAACGACCAGGTCAGAACCAAACATGACATACACCGTCACAAGAAACACCGCACACGCAATCATGGCCATTCACACAACCGCAAACAGAGACGATAGCATGCAGAGAGCACACTCCACACACACACCTTCACACACCAACCCTCGTTAACAAAACTCTCCCTCGCGCCCCCACACCACCCAGGAATCCGCATGCACTTTCAGGTCCCGCCCACTACGAAACATCGCGATATCCGGTCTTACCTCTTGGCTACAGCCTTTACACAGAGACTACGTTTCCCAGGAGACACTGCGATGCGGTCCCAATTGGGATGCAGCACCGGCGCGGCTTTGTGCGTATGCGCCATCTTCCGGCTCCGGGCGGCTAGTCCGCCGGTACTGAGGAGGAAGCTCAGCTGCGGCTGTGGGGGAGCGCAGCCGCGGTGACAGCTGGACCCGAGGAGGCGGCAGGTGAGGAGCTCCGGAGGTTCCCAGGCGCTCAGGGGATCTTGCGGCAACGGGCGCCGCGCCCGGGCGGGTTTCGGGCCTGGGAGGAACCGGAATGTCTCGCCGTAGCATCGGTCTGCGGGTTACCGTGCTCTGGACTACATTTCCCATCGGTCCCCGCTGGCGCTCCCTTTTGGCGTCACGGTCCACGACCGAGTCCCCAGACCCCTTAGGTGGGTGTGAAGGGGTCACGACCCGACGGAAATGCTTGAGGGTGTTTTGCGTTCTTTTTTACTCACTTTAAAAAAAAAAATTTCGGGAGGAAGTCTTATTTCATGAGATTCAAAGAGTTGCAAGATCCCAGAAGATTTAGAAGCAGAGACATATACTTGGGAATATTTTAGGTGATTGTGTTCAAAATCTGGGGAAAGGGTTGAGGAAATCCTGGGGCATTCATGCCGTAAAATGTTACAGATAATGCTAAAACAGTGGTCATAGGAGAAAAAAGTCGTAACATGACATCAAGGAACATTTATAATTATTTCATTCACACGTTGCTTACAATTAAATATTTGTAAAAATATGTATATATTTTTGACACGTTGGGCACTGTCCCAAATTCCTCCATAAACAGCTCAAGAAGTCGATAAAGGACATCACTTTCAACACTTGAACATTGTCTATTCCAATTTTTTAGGGGTTTTTTTGTGTTTTGTTTTGGTTTTTTGCCCATGTGTCCCTAGGTGGGTAGGTTTTATTTCTTTTCCTGAAAGTCTTGATGTTGTACAAAGAGTCCAGTTCTGAATGTCATTCATTTGTCAGTTGATGTCCTTCATCTGGCTGGGCTCACATTGATTGATTCAACCACTCACCTACTTGTGGGCTGTTATGTACTAATTTCTGGTTCTGTCTTCCAGAAAATATTTTGTCCATGCAGCTTCACATACTGTTATTTCTGTGCAGTGACTTATTTGCACTGTTATCTCTGTGCAGGGACCTGCTCCATCTAATTTACTCTCTGTACCCACACCCCATCTGTTGACTCTAGGCAGGATTTACAAAATGGTGTCCACCAAGGCTTAAGTAGGGCTGTGGGGCTCTTTGTGAATTTGGAAGTTGAGGGAGTGCCGGGGAGACTTCTGAAGGTGTTACATTGTGGGTCTGAGAGAGTTAAGTGGCCAGGTCCTGGAAAGACTTTATTCTTGGCAGGATTGATTTGAGCCAGGCAGGTTCTCTCTTCCTCCCGTCTGAGGACAGCCTTCCTTTTTTCCCTTTTTCTTTTTATATATATATATTTTTTTAATTGATTTGAGAAACAGAGAGAGAGAGAAACATTGATCTGTTGTTCCACTTATTTATGCTTATGTATGTTCCCTGACTGGAGATCAAATCCACAATCTTGGTGTATCGGGACGATGCTCTACCCAACTGAGCTACTTGGCCAGGGTGAGGACAGCCCTCCTTGTCCTTGGGACACCATGTGGTCTCTGTCACTGGACCAGGTCTGGGTATCCCCATCTCAGATTTCCATCAGTGACAAGGTAGAATTCTCTGGGTATTTAGGAGAAATGGGAAAGGCTATTGGTTCCCTGTTTGTACTTGCAGTAGCTGAAGCTGAGTTTTTTGAACCTGAGTGAGGGCTATATTTTGTCCCAGCTCCCTCTAATTTGTTGTTAGGTGGGGATTCAAGGGATGGGGAGGATGGGAACTTGCAACTGTGGCATTTTAGGGAGTGCAAGGCAAGCCTGGTCTCTCATGTTTGCTATTTTTTTCCCCAGTTCTGCCGTCTCAGGACTCGGCTCTTCCCCAAGAGAGGAGCCTCGAGGGGGCCTCATCAGCCCATGAAATTCTGAAAGTCATGTCCATCGTGAGTTTTAAGATCATGTAAATACTTGCTTTCCTTATCCTGAACCAACCTTCCCACTGAATCTCCATCCAAGAATCTGGTTCTTAGAGCTTCCCAGTTTCAGGAGTAAGAGGACTGGGCAGCTAGTATCTTCTCCCATTGCCCTCTTCTATCAAAAAACATTTGTTTGAGTTGTTTGGTTTGTTTTTTGTTTTTTGGGTGGTTTTATTTTTGAATTCTATAAAAGTTGAAATTCTAGGTGTCATACGGAGAATTCAGTACATGCCAAGGACGGAGTAACTCATAGTTGGGAAAACTCCAATTAGCTGGATTTTCATTTTCACCCCAGACCTGTGTACCAGAGCTTTGGTTTGTAGTAAAAAGGGACGTTCAGGTGTTCTTGACGCCCTTGTTCTCCTGCCATTTGCTCGCAGCAGAGGCCTCCAGCCCTGGTCTTTTCCACCAGCACATCTCATTCCTGCAGAGACCTCCTGCATCACCTCTCATCATCAACTAAGAGACGCTTCCATGATGTATGCACATAACACACCTGCCTGTCATTGCAGGGGTCAGACTTGTTCAGGGATGTGGCCGTCGTCTTCTCCCGAGAAGAGTGGGAACAGCTGACGCCTGCTCAGAGGGACTTGTACAGAGACGTCATGTTGGAGATCTATAGCATCCTGCTCTCACTGGGTAAGGGCCCCTGCTCTGGGAGTTTGCAGGTCACCATTGGGCAAAGCTGTTCCTTCCTTGTCAGTTTTGGGCTACCCTTTGAGTGGTTCAAGGGCAGCTCCCTGGGTTGAAGCCACATTGTTCCCAGCCCTCAGATGACTGTCATATCTTCCCCTGTCCCTTCCTGCAATGGCCTCTCGTTCTTGATAACCAGGCCCTAGATCCAAATTCTGGGCCCCGCAACATAACCAGGTGTCATGTTCTTTCTCAGGTCCAGATCTTGCCGTTTCCAAACCCGATGTGATCTCCTTCCTGGAGCAAGGCAAGGAGCCCTGGAGGGTGGAGGAGGCAGTGACCGGAGGCCTGTGCCCAGGTAAGTGAGGCATGGGCAGGTGGAGGGGAGCCACAACAGAAAACTGTCCAGCTGGTCAGCGAAGAAGCAGGTCCTTGGGGGTAGAAAATGTTTCCTCCAAGTTACCAAACTCAGTGGTCAGGTCCCAGTTGTCATCTCTGGCAATTTGTCAGCAGCATTGGACAAATGTCATTTCCTTCCTGAAGCATTTGTATATTTAGGTCATCAGTACTTCTGTCATCACCTTGCTTATTAAACCACCTTCAGCTTCCTCTCTTGGATCTTCTTACCTTCTCTAGATGTCAGGCTCAGATGTGGGCCTCTTCCTTCCTGTCTATTCCCACTCCTCAGGACCTTCCCTATTACCATGCTAAACACCATCCATACTCGGCCTGTCCAGTATGGCACCACTGTGTGGTCATCGAAATTTATTTATTTATTTATTTATTTTTAAAGATTGTATTTATTTATTTTTAGACAGAGGGGGAAAGAGTGAGAAAGAGAGAGAGAAACATCAGTGTGTCATTGCCTCACGCTCCCCCCACTGGGGACCTGGCCCACAACCCAGGCATGTGCCCTGACTGGGAATTGAACTGGTGATCCCTTGGTTCACAGGCCAGTGCTCAGTACACTAAGCCACACCAGCTAGGGCTGAAATTTAAATTAATTACAATGAAATACATTCAAAACTTCAGCACCTCAGTTGCAACTACCATATTTCAAATGTTCAGGAGCCACTTTCTGGCTCGTGGCCACTGTACACCTGGACACCACAGATATATAACATCTCTATCACTGCAGAAAGTTCTGGCAGAGAACACAGATGGTTACCTTCACCTTTGTGTCTCCCTCACACTCCAGCGACTAATATCCAACTGCCTTCAGATTGTGGCCACCAGGGTGTTCACCAAGCATGCCTAAGGGAACAAGTCCTAAACGGAGTCTTTGATCCGCCCGGACAAGTCTACTCTTCCCCGTTCTATATTTTGGTAACAGGGCACTTGATTCTTCATCTTGTTCAAGTCAAAAACACTTGATGCACTCTGGCCAGGTGATTCAATTGATTGAAGCACCTTCTGGTACACCAAAAGGTTGTGGGTTCAATCCCTGGTCAGGGCACATATAAGAGTCAACGAATACATACATGAGTAAGTGGAAGAACAAATAGATGTTTCTTTCTCTCTCTCCTCCCCTTCCTCCCTCCCCACTCCCTCTTCCCTTCCCTCTTCCTCCTTCCCACTCTCCCTCCCTTTTTGTCTTTCTCTGAAATCAGTACACCAAAATTTAAAAAATAAAATTAAGTAAAATATAAAATTTCATTCTGCAGTGGCACTGGCCACATACCAGACACGCAGTAGCCGTGTGTAGCTAGTGGCTACTGTGTTGGACCGTGCGGAGTGGAACGTTTTTAGTGTCACAGAAAGTTCTGTTGAACTGTGTTGCTCTTTGGTCTCATCCACTCTGACTTTCTCTCTTGCTACGCTCCCCATCACTCATTTGGTTACAGCTGCATAAGCCTCTTCCCTGCCCCATCAACACAGGGATTGGCAAGTGTTTTCTTTCAAGGGCCAGACAGTAACTGTTTCAGGCTGGCGGTCCATGTGGTGTGTGTCACAGCCCCTCACCTCTGCTGTGGTAGCTTGCACTCTGGCTTTGACACAGCTGGTATATTTCTGCCTTGGCCTCCATCCTTGCTATCCCCTCTGCCCAGGATGCTCCTGCTCGGGATGGAGCATTTCTCAACCTCAGCAAGGTTGACATTCCCAGCAGGATTGTTCTTTACCGCAGGGGGCCATCCTGTGCGCTGTGGGGTGGTGAGCAGCCTCCCTGGCCTCTACTTACCACAGGCCAGTAGAGCCCTGCCCTCGATTGTGACCACCAAAAACGTCTCCAGACATTGCCAAGTGTCCCAGGAGGGGTAAAAGCTTCCGTGATTAAAAACCAATGTCACAATGTAACGTAACACCAAAAACATATCTATAAACAGTTTTCACAACATACAGCATATTGTAAGAGAATTTCAAATGGAGGACAAAGAACTAAGCCTCTCAGGTGTGCTGGGTTCTTCTGCAAGGAAGGTGGGGAGAGGCAGTCTTATAGACTGAGCCCTTTACCTGCAGGGTTGGACGCTCTCTGTAGGAAGTATGAAAATTGACTTAACTTTCTAGGACACCAGGGAACTGGAGAATTGCTTGATGTGAGGGTAAAACGACAAACATTTGGTGACCCAAAGTGTCAGAAGAGTGGCATTGAGAGGCTCCCCAAAAGGAATCCCTGTACCTGTTAAACAGTCACTCCTCATTCTTCTCCCTCGCACCCCCCAGCCCCTGACAATCACTAATCTGCTGTCCGTGTCTATAGATTTGCTTACTCTGGATATTTTACATAAGTGGAACCGTACAATATGTGGCCTTTTGTGTCTGATTTCTTTTTACCCGGCGTAATGTCCTTATAGTTTATCCACATCGTAGCATGTGATAGGGTTTCCTTCTGTTTTAAGGCTGTTTATATTCACCACAACTTTTGTCCATTCATTTGTCGATAGACTGTTGGGCTCTTTCCACATCTTGGTTACTTTGAATAATGTTGCATTGAATATAGGTGTGCAGATATCTCTCTCACCGTCCACTTTCACTTCTTTGGGCTAAATACCCAAAAGTGGAATTGCTGGGTTGTATGGTAGTTCCATATTTAATTTTTTTAGGAACGTGCATACTGCTTTCCACCTTGACTGCACCATTTTACCAACAGCGCATAAGGGCTCCAATTTCTCCGAATCTTTGTCAACAGTGGTTATTTTCTGTTCTTTTTTTGTTTTGTTTTGTTGTTTGTTTTTTCAGTAGTGGCCATGCTCATGGCTGAGAGGTAGAATCTCATAATTTTGGTATGCATTTCTCTAGTGGTTGGTGATGTTGAGCATCTTTTTGTATGTTTGTTGACTATTTATGTATTTTCTTTGGGAAGATGTCTATTCAAGTCCTTTGCCCATATTTTTAATCAGGATGAGTTGTTTTTGTTGTTGAGTTGTAGGAGTTCTTTATATAGTCTGGGTATTAACCTGTTATCAGATATATGATTTGCAAATATATTCTTCCATTCTGTAGGTTGTGTTCTCACTCTGTTGTTTCCTTTGATGCCTAGTTGTTTTCAAGTTTGATGTAGTTCCGTTTGTCTATTTTTGCTTATGGTGCAATATCCAAGAAAGTACCACCAAATGCAATGTTGTGAACTGTTCCCCCATGTTTTCTTCTAGGAGCTTTATAGTTTTGGTTCTTTGTTTCAGTCTTCAATCCATTTTGAGTTAGTGTTTATATTTGTTGTGAGCTAAGGATCCTTCTTCATTCTTGGGCACTTGCATATCCAATTTCCTCAGCATCATTTGTGGAAAAGCAGTACTGTCATCTTTTCCTCATTGTGTGGTCTTGGACCCTTATCAAAGATCATCTGACCACATGCATGAGGGTTTATTTCTGGGCTGTCTATTTTTGTTCCATTGGTTGACATGTCTGCCTTTGTGCCAGTACCATACTGTTTTAATTACTGTTGCTTTGTCATGTTTGTTTGTTTGTTCGTTTGTTTGTTTTTAAGAGAGAGAAGAAGGGGGAAAGAGAGAGAGAAACATTGATTTATTCTTCAGCCTGTTCGCACATTTACTGATTGATTCTTATATGTACCCTGACCAGGGATTGAACCCACTACCTTGGTGTAGGACAACACTCTTAACCAACTGAGCCACCCAGCCAAGACTATCAGATATTCTTTTTTTTTTTTTTAAGATTTATTTATTTATTTGTTTTTAGGGAGAAAGAAAGGGAGAGAAACTTCAATGTGTGGTTGCCTTGCATGCCCCCTGACTGAGGACATGGCCCGCAACCCAGGCATGTGCCCTGACTGGGAATCAAACTGGTGACCCTTTGCTTCACAGTCCTACGCTCAATCCACTGAGCCACACCAGCCAGGGCTGATACTCTTTATGAGCACCTTTGCTCTCTGCCCCCTGCCCTAGGTAGTTCTTGCTATAACCATTTCTTTACTAGCCCAGTGAGTGGGTTCCTGTTATTGCAGTAAAATGGACTACTGCAGCTGAAGTCGTGTACCAGATGGAATCAGGATCCATTACGCCATTCAATTCCTTGCAGTTTGAATGAGCAGCAAAGAGAATTTCAGAAGATGCCATCCCCATTAAATTGGAGTCTGATTCTCTAAACAAGGAAGCAGGCCCTCCTTTTTCGCAGATCACCTAAGGCAGTGAAAAGGACCAAGAGAGACAGGTTCTGTTGACACCAGGTCCATTCTTGGTGTTCAGCTGAAGTTCAGAGGTAGAAGGCATCCCAGCAGAAGACTGTCACTGTGTTACTACACTTCCAGGGGACAGGTGATCATAGGTCCCCACAAAGCACGACAGCCCCCAACAAACAGATACCCCACTCTGTTCCTTTGGCCAGATGAAGATCCAACCACCTTCACTGTCATTTCTTAAAATCCACTTTATTGAGGTAGTCATTTATATTCAGTGAATGTAATGTTGAATATTTAAAGTATAATGTTTAAAGTTTATATTTAAAGCTTAAAGTAATACTTAAAATTTGAAGTGTAATATTTTGATGAGTATGAACAAATGTATACATATAACCACCACCACAGTCGAGATAGAGGACATTTCCAAGAATGGCTCTTATAACCTCCTCCTTCATCACCTCACTCATTTATGGTATCTCTTCTTTCTTTATACTGTTTGTTTTCTAATTGCTTAGTCACATTCAGGAGCCCATAGGTATTATCCTGAGTCCAAACTTTTAAATTTTTACTATACAAGTTGTTTTTTCTGGAAAAGGAAAAAACTAATATATTCTTGCTCTTTTGTTTTTTTCCAGTCTTGGAGTCGAGATATGATACTCAGGTCTTATCTCTGAAGCAGCCCGTTTGTGAAGTGCTGTCACCCGGGTACGAGAGAACAGAAAGCCTTACAAGTTGTCCCGAATACTCGAGTTTCCAAGATGACTGGGAATGCAGACACCAGTGTGACAGACAGCAGGGGAGTCCAGACGGACATTTGAGTCAAATGATAATCAATCATGAAGAAATGCCCACTTTTGACCCACAAGTATCCCTTACTTTTTATCAGAAAATCCATCCTGGAGACAAATCCTATACATATAATGATGGCAGCGAAGACTTCTGGCCAGAGGACTTCCTTATGAACCATCAAGGAATTCACACTAATGAGAAACCCTATAAATGTAAGGAGTGTGGGAAGGCCTTTAAATATGGTTCACGACTAATTCAACATGAGAATATTCATTCTGGCAAGAAACCCTATGAGTGTAAGGAATGTGGGAAGGCTTTCAATTCGGGTTCAAATTTCATACAACACCAGAGAGTCCATACTGGTGAGAAACCCTATGAATGTAAGGATTGTGCCAAGGCCTTCAGTCGGAGCTCCCAGTTGATTGAACATCAAAGAATTCATACTGGGGAGAAGCCCTATCAATGTAAGGAGTGTGGGAAGGCCTTCAATCGGATCTCACATCTTAAAGTACATTATAGAATTCACACAGGTGAGAAGCCCTATGCCTGCAAGGAATGTGGGAAGACCTTTAGTCACCGGTCTCAGTTGATCCAACATCAGACTATTCACACTGGCAAGAAGCTCTACGAATGTAAGGACTGTGGGAAGGCCTTCAATCAGGGCTCAACCCTTATTCGACATCAGAGAATTCACACTGGTGAGAAGCCCTATGAATGTAAGACCTGCGGGAAGGCCTTTAGGGTGAGCTCACAACTTAAGCAACACCAGAGAATTCACACTGGAGAGAAACCCTACCAGTGCAAGGTGTGCGGTAGGGCTTTCAAACGGGTCTCACACCTTACTGTGCATTATAGAATCCATACGGGTGAGAAACCCTACGAATGTAAGGCATGTAGGAAGGCCTTCAGCCACTGCTCACAGCTCATTCAGCATCAGCTCATTCACACTGAGGAAAAGCCCAGTGACTATAAGGAAGAGGGGAGGACTTTCCATTGTGATTCAGCTACTGTTCAGCACCAGAGAATGCAAAGTAGAGAAACACAGGTGAATATAATAAATGTAGAAAAGCCTTCCATCAGCACTTACCCCTTGTTGATCATCAGAGAAATTATGTTAGCCAGCAACCACATGGGTGGAAGCAATGGGGAGAGCCCATTGGCTTAGGCTAATCACAGCTTTGTCCTTCCATCTTGGGATAAGACTTGAATGTACCATAAGTCAGAATGCCTTCATTCAGAGCTGTCCCTTCTCCTAAGTCATAAAGTTCATACTGAAGGAAAATTTTATGGATACAAGTTGTCTAGACCATGATAGTCAAAGAAGCAAGGAACGGTTGGGAAAAATGTCTCTTAACACATTCTTGATTCACCTTTTCTAACTACCATGTAATAATTTTAACAGTAGCCGAAGGTTTTCATTTTCCTATAAAGTGAAAAGGTAACTAAAACAGCAGAATTACTCTTGGGGTAACAAGAAAATAAATCATGCAGTTACCATAAACAGTAAAGAAGAATGAATGACAGGGTTGCAGGTTAATCCCTGGTCAAGGCACATCCAAGAAACAACCAATATATATATACTGTTCCCCCAATATATATTGTTCTGCAACATATATTGTAACAATATATATATTGTTATGTTATACATAACTGAGGGGAACAAAAAAATCCATGTTTCTCTCAAAGAGACAAGGAGAGTTTTTGTACATTCTAACAGACAGGTGTGGTTGGTGCCACTCAGAGGAATTTTAAAGATTTTACGTATTTTTAGAAAGGGGAAGAGAGGAAAAGGGAGAGAAACATCAATGTGTGGTTGCCTCTTGAGTGCCCCCTACTGGAGACCCGCCCCACAACCAAGACGTGCCCTGACTGGGGATTGAACCAGTAACCCTTTGGTTCATACACCAGTACTCAATCGACTGAGCCACACCAGGCAGTGCTACTCACAGTAATTTTTATAACCTTTAAATGCACGTGAAACATGAAAACCTGTAAGATTATACTTAAATATTCTAAATGTACTATTCAAGAAGCCAGAAAAGAGAACACCAAGCATCCAGATGATAAAAGAACAAGTCAGTACAAAATAACAAAGTAGAATGTGGTCATCTTACAACAATCTAAGTTTTCATTTCTTCCTGACCCAAGAGTAAACTAAGTTTAGCAGATGGTTTCCATGTCGTTTGATTGTTTTGGGTTATCTTATAACATGTTGCAGAGAGAAGGGGTTGGTTGCTTACCTAGCAGCCATATCCCATTCCCCTTCTTGTTGGCAGCATCTGTGTCTTGCTTTAGAATCTGAAGGTGTCAGAGGATAATTTCTGCCTCCTTTGCAGCTCAGGTAGGCCACTGTGTTCCAGGGACCTGCTGGGCTTCTAGGAAAGATTTTCCTAATTCAGAAGAGACATGTATTAGGAAGACTTTCCTTGTTTTCTGCTATTAAACATTTTTCTATGAGATCATGATGTCTGGAGTTGCTGCAGCCATTTTGGGATCAAGAGGAGAAAACAGAAGCTGATCTAGAAACCAATTTTGAAACTTTCTTTGATGCTTTCTTAGAAAAATAAACCTTTATTGCTAAAGTTCATTTTAATTGGATATCTTGTATACTCACAGCCATAAACATCCTTAATTATAACATTTCAGATTTTAGTATGATTGGTAAATATGGCCTAGATATCAATACCTACCTTTTAAGATTTGACATTTTTCTTTGTGGCTAAGTACAAGATTGAATGTTTATGTTCCTTAACATTGAAAAACACTACATACTATTTTTTGTTTGTTTGAATACAAGGTTCTGTTTAAGCCTGTGGATTATAATGACAAAATTCTCCATGTTCTCATATTATTTGATATATTGGATCAGAATTTGCTAAAATTGAACTTCTTGAACCAAGATCATGAATTTCCAGAGATTTTTACTTTTTAATTTATGTTGTTTGACTATGACTTAAGCCCTATTTATGAATCATACCTTTTATCGTTATATAATATCCTATTGTGCCAGGGGTAGTGATCAACAAACCAAATCTGGCCTGCTGCCTGATTTATAAATAAAGTTTTATCAGAACAGCCATGCTCATTTATTTGTTGTGTACTACTGGCAGAACTGAGTGGCTGCAAGGAAGACTGGCCACAAAGCCTGTGTTTACTGTCTGGCCACCCTGGCCAGTGCAACTTAGTTGAAGTGTCATGCTGTACACCAAAAGGTTGTGGGTTTGATTCCCAGTCAGGGGACATGCCTGGGTTTCAGGTTTGGTCCTAGACAGAGCACATAGGAGAGAAAACCAGTGTATGTTTCCCACATCAATGTTTCCCTCTCCCTCCCTTCCCTTCTCTCTAAAATCAATAGGCTGTCTTCAGGTGAGGATTGAAAAGAAAAATTTGCCAGTTATGACCTAGTGTGATCCTCTGTATTTTATTACCATCCTGTATCTTTGTTTAGCTGGTATGTTTTTGCCCATCCGTTTATTTTGAACCCCTGTCATTTTAGTTATTTCATTTAAAAAAAAAATCACGCTGATTTTTTGAAACACTGAATTTTTCTATAGGGAAACTAATATTTTTGTTTAGTGTGCTAAATCTCCTTTATTCCTTTTATTTTGCATTTATATTATCTTGGTCTTTTCTTATGTTGGTTCATTATTCCCTTTTTCTCTTGCTAAACTGGAACTTACCACTATGGTTGAGATGGTGATCTGCTTTTTTTTTTTTTTAGATTCTATTTATTTGTGAAGACAGGGAGGGAGACAGACAGAGAGAGGGAGAGGAACATCAATGTGTCAAAGAAACATCAATGGGTTGCTTCTTGCACTCATCCCAAACAGGGACCTGGCCTGAAATCCAGGTATGTGCCCTGATTGGGAATCGAACTAGCCACCTTTTGGTGTGTGGGATGCCCAACCCACTGAGCCATACTAGTCAGGGTGATCTTCCCATTATTATTTGGTCAGAATAAGAGCACTATTACACTTTGTCACCTACCATTTTCTTTGCCACTCTCCAAGAAGAGTCACCACCCTTGTTTTCTTTTTTATCCCTTCCCTAACTTAATGAAGATTTTTAGCCTAAACCTTTTACTTTTGCTTCTATTTCATTTATTTGATGCTTCCATTACTGTCATTCCCACTTATGATTTTCATTTAAATTTAAACATACTGAGTAACACTTATTGCTGGCTACCATTTCCTTTCATTGTTTTCCCAATCATCAGGAATAGTTCTATATCAAATGATACATGGTTAGACTATTTTATTGAATATTTATATTTATCTCAATAAATGGTATATAGCTGGTATTCTCAGAATCCTTACATGTCAGAAAAAAAGTTTCTTGTATCCTTACAAATTATACTTTTGGCAGAACATTTTCAGATTGTAGTTGTTTTCTCAGTAGTCCATAGATGTCCCTTCATTGAATTCTGGTCTTCTTGAAGAGGAACCCAAAGCTGATCTGATTCTCTTAGCTTATGTAGATAGGTGTATTTGTTTCATGTTGTTGCTGTAACAAATTGTCAAAAACTTAGTGGCTTAAAATAGCACAGGTTGCCCTGGTCAGGAACTCAGTTGATTAGAGCATTGTCCTGGTAATGCCAAAATTGCAGGTTCCATCCTTGGTAAAGCCACATACAAGAATCAACCAATGAATGCATAAATGAGTGGAACAACAAATCAATGTTTCTCTTTCAAATCAATAAACTTAATTTTTTTTTCAAGTTTCTTTCTATCCTCAAAATCTAGGAACTTAGGCTGCATAGGTTTAGATAGTCCCGTCCTTTTTTCTCTTTCTGGCCCAAAGAAATCTTTTTCTACATACTGCTTCCTTAGTACTTCTCAGTTGTTTATTTCTATTTAAAAACTTTAATGTTTTGAATCAACAGGATATCCTCATGATTAAAAAACTTGAAGATGTAAAAAAGGCATGCAGGAATAAGTCTTTCTATCTTTTTTCCCTTTTGTTTGTTACAGCAACAGAATACTACCTCTCTGGCTCTGATTCTCAAAGTGTGATTCAACCTTTCTGCCTACCTCACTTCTTTTAATGTCAGTAATTCCTCAAAATAACCATGCAGTCAGATTATACATTTTTATAATTTTTAACTTTTTTAATTGATTTGAGAGAGACATCAATTTGTTGTTCCACTTTCTATGCATTTATTGGTTGATTCTTGTATGTACCAGGGATTAAACCCACAACTTCGGTGTATTGGGACAATGCTCTAACCAACTTGAGCACCTGGCCAGGGCAGATTATTTTCTTTAGGAGAAAAAAAGAAACAGATGTAGAAAATTAACACCAATCATTATTCAATATCAGAGAATTCATACTGGAGAAAAGTCCTAGGAATTTAAGGATTTTGGAAAGGCCTTCAGAAGAACCCATAATGTATTATCAAAGAATTCATACTGGTGAAAAGCCGTGTGCATGTAATGGACATGAAAAGGTCTTCAGTCATCTCTCGTATCTTCCTCAACCACAGAGGATCCATACTGGTGAGAACCATTTCAATGCACTGAATGTGGAAAAGCTTTTAGTCACTTGACACTAGTTGTTACTCAACATCAGAAGACTCATACCGGTGAGAGGCCCTATGAATGTAAGGAATATGGGAAACATCTAGGGTTACCCCACACCTCATCCAGTATCAAAGAATTCACACTGGTCGAGAAACCCTCTCAATGAAGAGAATGTGGAAAGGCCTTCTGGCATCGTTTATATCTTCCTCAACATCAGAAAAACCCATCCTGGTGAGAAACCTTAGAACTATACATTGTGACATTGTGGGAAGGACTTTGGGCAGTGTTCACAACTTATGTGACATCAGAAAATTCATTCCTTTTTTTTAAATAAGTGAAAACAGCCTTAAGCTATGTTTTTGTTTATCTATTTATTTTAATCCTCACCTAAGGATATGGCTATTGATATGGCTATGGCTCTAAAAGAGAGGAAGGGAGAGAGAGAGAAACATCAATGAGAGAGAGGAACATTGATTGGTTGGCTCCCACACGCAACCCAACCCAAGATCCAACCTACAACCTAGGTATGTGCCCTGGCCAGGAATCAAACCCACAACCTTTTGGTGTGCAAGACAACACTCCAACCAACTGAGCCACCCAGCCAGGGCAGAAAATTTATTCTTAATGTTTGTAAGAAACGTGAGAAGGCCTTCAGGCACTGTCATCATCCTCAATGTTAAGGAGTTCATGCTACAGAAAACCCCCATAAACAAGGGAAGGAAAGACTTCACTAGTCTCATCTGTCAAGGAACATCTAATAATTTATCAGTAACCTTTTCAAATGCAAAAATGCTTTTTATTCAACTCATGTTACACTCACCAGCAAATGCATTATACCATTCATCACTAATGATCATATTAATATGATAATGTAGAAAAACTCCTCAACCCTGTCAGCCATTAATTATTGTTATGGCAGCAAGAAACTATATAAGTGGATAAATTTTGGAAAGTCATCCTAATGTACATAAAAGAATGTATAAGAGAAAATAACCCTATGAATACCACATATGTGAGATGTAAGTTTAAAGAAATTTCATACTGATTTGTTTTTTAAAAATTTTATTTTTGAGAAAGAGGAAGGGAAGGAGAAAGAGAGAGAGAGAGAACATCGATCAGTTGCCTCTGGTACTTGCCCCAACCAGGGACTGAACCCACAACCTAGGCACATGCCCCTACCAGGAATGGAACCAGGAATGGAACCCTTCACCTTGGGGAATGACACCCAACCAACTGAGCCACACTGGTCAGGGCTCATATTCATTTTTTTTTTTTAAGGAAAATTCACACTGAAGAATATACCACGAGTAAAAGAAAAGCATTCAAGGATTTATCAGTCATTGTGCATCAGCAAATAATGTATGAAACCCTTGATGTTTAAAACAACAGTTAAGCATTTAACTATCAAACAATCTGAGGAAGTTGTGGAGAAGTCTGTAACAAGTGGTACAGAGCCATTAACTCAGGTAAAAATGTAATGCATTAGATACTAACCAAGTATTTTTATGTTGTATGTCTTGCTCATTGAAAGAAGAACACTACAATGTGGTGAGGTCAAACCCTGACAGATATGGCTCTGTCTGTACTCAAAAAAGTGACCAGCTTCAATGCATTTATATTTATAGACCAGAAAATGGTGACACTGGAAATAATGCAGAAACCAGAGACTGTTTGAGAAGCCAGAAACTGAACCTAACTTAGCAATAAACAGAATTAAAGAAAATAATGTGTGAACAGAAAAGTAGGTTTTATCAACCTGGAAGTCTTTTCTTTAAAAGGATAGTATAAACATTTAGCAAATTTCATTAAAATACTATAGAGCAACAGTCCCAAACTTTTCTGGCACAAGGGACGGGTTTGGTGGAAGATGGAAAAAGGAGAGGGGGACAGGAGGTGGAGCTCAGGTGAGCTTGGCTCTTGGTGGCTTCCTAACAGACTGGGGGTTAGGGACCCCAGCTATAGAGCATTATTAAAAATGAGGAGGCTGTAATAGCACATATAAAGGGCATTTTAAAATGAGGTTAAACACTTTACATTTTTGTTGCCAATAAATTTCAAATTTTAATTGAACTTCACTTCCTAAAGTGGAAAAACTAAGTTTCCAGAATTGACTAAAGATTAGCAAAGGGCAGGTTTTATAGAGAATCCAACTGAGTTTTTTTTAAACCTATTATCCATTAAGACTAAAGATTTACCAGGCTGTAGGGGTATACAAAATATTGATGACACAAATTTGCAAGTTTGGAAAGGATGCAGATCTGATCAGCTCCTTTTGAGTCCTGTGTAATCTCAATACACAAACTGAAACCTAAATTTCCAGATGTCCTGAAGCTCCCAAATTACAAAAAACCATCAGCACTTTTGAGTGCTAGGCACTTTTCTACATGTGAAATTTTTTTAAAAATTGTAACTTCTAGAAAATTAATACATCTTATTTTTCTCTTTAAAAATTAAAATTTTAAAACAGTAAGATAATAGTTGATGTGTATTTTTAAATTAGATTATTTGTTGAGAATTTAGGACATACCTGTCTAAGGTTGGTTATTCTT